AAGACATCATGTGCTATCTGGGTATGGTACTGATGCCTATCTGTTTGGTACGTTTTTTGAAAATGTTTCATGTAGGGGATACACATTGTATCAAATGAAATATTGGAAGTATACTAGTCCCAAACTGAACGATGCTAACGATCTGTTGGGCAGAATTCAAGAAATGAGTGAGACCTCCTTAATACTCATTTTCGAAAACTAAATCGAAGATGTGTTGTACCAAATAAAATGTTGGAAATGGAGTATTCTGTGATGACAGATGCTAAAATGAACAATGGTAGCGCATGTCTTGATGATAATAAATCCTCTACACTTTTTTCTTGTTATACCCTGTTTAATTTTTGAGAAGTTGATATCGTTGAAAATTATTACGAAGAATGTTTGTCGTGACGCAATGAAGAACAGTGGACGAAAAGACAACACAATGTGGGACACTTACAGTGAGAGATGAAAGAGTATGTACATTTTATGTATTATACAGAGGTATTAATAGGGTAATTACCACTTCTTTTGGTATATTTGTTATTATTCGTCTGACACCCATAGAAGTTTACATTGTTGTAAATTTCTACAAAAAATCCTTTTTCCATTTATTATAATCAATAGTTTCATTCAAATTTGTTATAAACAGATAAAATCCGTGATTTGGTTACAAGTATTATTTCCTAAAGACTAGATTTTGTGACATAGATTCTATTGACACTAAATCTACTGAACCCATCACAAAGGCAAGAATTACTACATATAGTAAACGACGAAAAAAGAAAATTTGTACAAAAACAATTTAATCTTCTATAAAATCAATATATACCAGTATTTCTTTTAATTTCAAAGTCCACACTTCTATACGAATAGGTACTTTCGTGCCCCGCATATACATAATCTATCACAGCGAACTCGTCAAGTCTCCCAAAAACCATTCAGCAGAACCACCCCAGCAAAACCGACTTTTCATCCTGCAACCATCACTAATAGCCATAAAACAGAAAAGAAAAACAGAACTATTCGATCTGGATCAACAAAACCACGATTAAAGCGATAAAGAATAGATCGTGCTTGACACATATTCTGCTGGGAAAATCGTGAATGTTAACGATGGGTACCTAGACAAGGAAAGAGGAGCATCGATAGGGCTGCGCGAGAGCACAGAAAATATTCGTCGCGAGCCAGTTGAGCGAGCGAGTTTATGGGCTCGCGCGCGCGTACTTTCCAATAATATCAACGAGATTCACTAGGAATGAATACTATTCGAGACGCATAGGAGGCGTGGGGGAGGAGGGGGGGGAGTGGAATGCTAGGGAAGGAATGAGAGAGAGTGGGGGAGTAGGATAGTCGAAGGGAAGAGCCCCACGAGATGCTAGGTGAAATAGGGATGGAGGGGAGGGTGAGTGGGGGGCACAAGGGTTCCATTGCGACGGTACTGCGAGAGAGGCACCCGGGATGAGACCCGCCTTTTTACACCGGGGGCCTAAGAAAGATCCACTCGGGGCCACCGTGGATCGAAGCGAGACGGAAACGGAGAAAGAAGACTATGGAAGGGGCGAGGAGGACAGGCGGAACGCGCGAGCCCGCCGTATATACACGAAGATCGGTCCCGCGCGCGCGTGAAAAGGACAGAACGATCGCGAAGAATCAAAAGGACGACGGGTGGAAGAAGGATCGACGGTGTGGTTGTGGCGCGCGGTGTAAAAGGGAGAAGGATGTTGAAAACACGATGGTGTGCGGTATAGAGGGAAGGGGGAGGAAGGATGACGGTAGAAGCAGGACGGAAGGACAGGCGGAAAGAAGAGAATAAGAGAGAGAGAGAGAAAGAGAGCGAGGATCGGAGGGGGATCAGCGGGTGGGGTGGTGCAAGAAACCGAAGGAAGAGAAGGCAAAAAGAGGAAAAAAGGTGGGATCCCTTAAAAATTGAGACCCACGAAGGTGGGGATTGGAATTTCGGGCCCCGTAAACCGGCCAGTCTCGAGGAGGCCTTCTCGCGAAGATGAGGTGAAGAGAAGAGAGGATACACACCGCGAATGGGATAGAGAGACAGAAAGAGAGGAAATAAAGAGGATAGAAACGGGGGTTGAAGCAGAGAGAAACAGCCAGGAAGAGGAGAAAAGAAAAAGGGGGCGATATCTCGTGGTTGTCGACCAGGACGAAGAAGACGAGGAGTAGGCAGACGGCGGACCGGGACCACGACGACGACGACCACGACGACGACGACGGTCACGACGACGAGGACGAGGACGAGGACGAAGACGAAGACGAGGACGAGGACGACCGCCACCACCAAGAAGAAGAAGAAGAAGAGGAGGAAAGAGCGCGTCGTCAGGCGGTGCGGCCGGCCGTGTTTAGTTTGACTTGTGTACCCGGCATGGACCGTCAGTATACCCTCTGCGTACTCGTACCGGCGCACCAATACCGCACTTACGTTGACAATTACCATCAGCACGCGCACCACCACCACCATCATCACCATCACCACCAACAACGATTCGAGCAGCAACGTCATCAGTACAACCACCATCAGCAGCTACATCGTGCCGTCGAGCATCATCACCATCACCAGCAGCACCCTTATCATCACCAGGAGCAAATATACGAGAACGTTGTCTCGCAGTACCGGATGAGAATGTGCTATCAGAACGACTACGAGAACGACGAGCAGATACAGAGGTTCTACTGGGAGCAGTGCTACAGACGGAACGACACAGACGCCACCGCGTACTATTACTGTGAATATGTAAGGGCCCTCGAGGATTTTGCTGCTATGTGCCTTAACAGTACCGGATAGATGAATTCGGACTGAGAGTTTGTTCATTTTTTGTTTGTGGTTATGGTGATATAGTTAACCAGAAGTTCTGACCTACTAAGTGTTTTCACTATTGGTCCACGCGTTTGAGGTTTTCGTTAAAGTTCACACGGAGATACGTATTATAAAATATAAAATAGGTTTTGTGTATATCGGAAAGTTCGTAGCATTTTGGACACATCAGGGTCTTCATTTATCTTTTTACTGGACGAAGGAAATGTCGTTTGATTCGGTGAATAGGTATTTCTTTCCAGGCGTGAATTGAACGTTTTGGCTGTACAAGTTACGCGTTGTTTGTTTTTCTGGTTTCTGTGAAGAAATACCGACGAAACATGTGAACAGTCAGGAAGTACATTTTCATTTCATTCTGTCGAATTTGAGAAAAAAATACATTACCTCGACTGATAAGACTTCATAGCATCTATCCAATTAATTAGACGTTAACTCTATTCCTTTAGATCGCTAGAGTATTCTGTATCTAGAAAAAACTTGGAAATGAAAATCCGTCTAGAAACATATCAAGTTTTTTTTAACCAACAGGTACAACGAAGTTAATTGAAAAATGGAAAGAGATTGTAAAAAAACGTAGTAAACAAGAATATGAAATAGGTCGTAATATTGACCTTAAAAATGGCGCCAACTTTCCGAACAGCCCAATATTTAGCTGGACAAAAGTATTCCGACCTGTTTCCGTTTACAAATATAAATTGCAATTCAAGCCGTGTGTTTCGTGAAAACATCATATTATATCTTTATTTTATCTGTTCCGTTAGTATGAGGGAAAAATTTGCTAAAAAAAAAAACAATTTATTCAACGAGGTTTCGTTTAGAAAATATGTATCGGAAGTGTGGTCGACCAAAGAAAAGAGCAGTCAGCCTAGCAGGTGTTGATTACTTGATCTATTAGGTGTACCAGAAAATAATGTCTTTTTCATTTTACGAAACTAACTTCATGTAAGATTAATTGAAGGTTTTTACACACTAATACAACCCTGAGCAAGGGTTATCGAAAACGATTGAGATTATTCGAGTGAATTAATGTCTTTATGTATATTCGCAAACTATGCAGTGAAATTTATTACGGAAAAACGACATGTTTGATCGGTGCCCCTAATAATATCAATGGTATCTCGAATTTAAATAATTCTGTTCGAAAACATTTGTCTGGTACTGGTGTAATATATCGCCCAATCGATATGTACCCGAATGGTCGGTGTTCAAGTGAAGTTTTTGAAAACAGTGAAGTGTACTGGAGGTTCACAGTGATTCTCTCTCTTCGTATCATAATTGATTCCGTAATCCACATTTCTTGAATCTCTCGATGTCTCGAATTTGTTTACGATGGGAATAGCTTCGTGGAATCCACCGTGGGTTAAAGAAAAAAGTTTTGTACGCCGAAGCCGGCGACCGGGTCAATTGTGACCTGTGAAAGAATCTCACAGACAAAGTGAGTTGTCGTTTAAAACAGTTTGATGACTGTGTTTATCGACGGGTCACCGGTGACCCGACCATAAGAACTTTCAAAGAGTCAAATATACACTTTGGTGTTTCTGAGTAGGGATTGGTTTGACATGAACACGATTCGAAAGAACCACACGTGACCCGATTGGAAATCGGTTGCCTCCACAGTGGATCATAAAGTGCTCGCTCACATATACATGTATACTTACGCTTTTTGAAATAATTTTATAGATTGCGTTACGAGCATTTCTATTACATTTAGTCATACGAATTCTCCATAGATAGTCAGGTTTCGATAACTAAGTGTTTTTCTTCTTTGTCGAATATTTTTCACACTACAGGATGATTGACAACCGCTGTAAGAAACATTAGTTACACAGAAGAGAAAATGTGACATTCGAAGGATAAGTGTTACAAAATCATGACGTCTACTTCCAACTTTTTTTGTCATTTTTTTCTTACTGTTGCCCTAGTGAAGGTTACAAGCTTTAATTCGACGTATCTATGAACGACTTCTAGAACCGCAGGATGAGTTAGCTTCCGATCTAAAGACCGATGGATTTCGGAGAAATTCATTGACAAAATTAGAAATTAGAATTTAATGTTTTAATTACGTATAGGTTGTTTTCCATACTTACTGTGGAGACAATTTGACAAAAAATTTTATACAATTATATGTAATTTTTATATATTTATTTTTTATGGGTACACCGTTTAAATGAGTTTTATATTTATGTTACAGGCAAAGAAGGAAATCTATGACGTGAAGCAACAAAGGCTATGTTTGGCCCAGGATGAGTACAATCACCTGAACAACGCTTTGACGACGCTCGGCGCGTCGCGTACAAGTTGTGAGTTCGCCATGATATTAATATTTATTTCATTTTTTGTATTAGATATATACTTCATAGTTCGCAATTCATATCTCGTATTTCGAATCGTACTATCACGAAATGATTATTAGACTGCGGATGTTTATGCAATCGTAGTTTGCTATAACTTCAGAAGCTATAGATTCAAAAGTCATAGACTCAGAAGTATTTTTGATGCAAAGGTTGTCGTTTCAGCTCAAAAGACCAAGTTTCTTAATCGGTAAACTTTTAACATTGTACAAATGCATAAAACACAGTCAACCAAGAATACTAATAAAAATCATTGATGGTCTATATTTTACTTTTAACTTAACCCTTTCAGACCTGATGGTCATATTTGTGTACATAAAGTTTCTTACAATTTCGGTGTTGCAGATTCATATTTTTCTTATAAATTGGAATTTATTTATGTTCCGAATGTTTTTAGCAGGTCTAGTGAAATCAGAATTGAATAACAAATCTTTTGTTTAAACAAACTATCATCTAAACAGTCGACTGAGTTCGAATGTAATTAATAAACCCCGTCATTGAGGAAATAGTTTACCCTTCAATTTTTATTTTTGTAAAATTCCTCATGAAAGTGAAAATCTGTATGAACATCCGCAGTCTAGTCACGAGAGTTCAAACTTTGAATGCATATTTTGCTTCATAATACTATATGCAAAATTAACGCCCATTTTTTCCATTGATTATCATTCATGATATTGAATAGTAGCAGTGTACACCCATTACTAGAAATAGTTCCCTTAATTTTCAGTACTTTTTTCCCGAAATTTTGGCTGGTAGAATTTACTTTACCTCTCGATTAATTAAAATAAAACCATAACACCAATTTAACATCGCGGTACTATGGCCTTTGCGTACACCAAGTCGTCGTATGATGAGGTCCAGACGAAAGACTTAAATTCATTAAATTTCCTCTTCCCGAAGGGGGTATCAAGTGTTTTTGTTAGGAGATCGAGCACGATCTCGAAACGAGACGCGATAAAGTCGGTATGGAAACAGCAGCAAAACGGTTTATGTTTTGTTCACAGTGTGCTCCAGTTCAAGTTCACTGAGTACCAAGTATGATCCCGATCTTCTGAAATCCGATGTCGCGCTCGCGAGGAGTCGAGTTTCTCGGCTGAAACGGGAGCTTGAGCAGATCCGAGCTGAAATGAATTGTACGCAGCGGGGAGTGGATACTCTCGCGAGGTATAGTATATCGTTTACCTTTCCACCCGAAATTCCTGAAATCCGAAGAGAGAATTTATTCGTGTTGCGCCGTAAAGCTCGAACGGCAGGGGGGGGGGGCGATTAAATTCTCAACGTTACGATCGATACGATACAGTAAAACCCTGGATTACACGAGCTGGCCTGGCAACATGGTATTTGGAAACATCGAATTCCTCGAATAATCGGGGTATAATGTACCGATGCAAGGATAACTGGCTACTAATTATTATTCGTATGCAGTATTAAACAAAGATCTTGTTCCATTACCTAGTTATCGATTTAGTGACTGAATATTCTTTTTTAACACCTTTGATGGTCGCTGTCTCAAATCCATGACTTTATTCGTTTCGTGAATATAGGGTATTATAAACTTTTCAAAAGAGTCAGGGTATTGCTAATGTGGGCAGGGTTCTGTAGCACCCGTCAAACAGAAGTCTAAACTGATATCTTTTCTGTACAGAATACCAAGATTATTAAAACTTAATTACATTTGTATAAAATGAAATTTGGGAGATAATACATTACAGAAATCTTCTAATTATTTTAAGCGGTGTATCTTCAAAAATTGTCGGAGACAATTGACGACGAATAGAACGATGAATTTTGATCGACTTGCTAATTGAATTAAGTAGAAAGACAGTTAATTGCAATATATTTAAAAATATAAGGGAAATGTATAAACAGTGGAGATCCCTGGATTTCTGGGTGACCAGTCAAACGTCTAGATAACTACAATATAGTTACGGCCGTGTCAAGGGTAGTTCCAATTAAGGCATGTAAATTATATTACGAACTGTTACGAATTTTAAATCTTAAAATCTTGAGTATTGGACACGTACCCATTTCATTGATCATATGTTGACTATGTTGCCTACCCAGGCCATTGCACCCTTTCCTTCCTGAACGACACTGTACAAACTATTCCCAAATAATCGAGGTTCTACCGTATCGAAAGAATTACCAACGATTATCTTGAAATTAAAACCCCGATCGTTTTCTTAATCTTGCAGCGTTGAGCAAAAGTTGAGTGGCCACCACGGCGGTTGCTACAACATTACGGAGGCCCAGGCGATCATGACGGAGCTTCGTAACATCCAGAAGTCATTAAGCTCGGGTGAGAAGGAGAAGGCTGAGCTGATGCAGTCTTTAGCACAACTAAAGGACGAGCTGACGAGACTGCAGCTCTGCGAGGGCAGCCCGGAGGCGAGCACCCTGAGTCTTCCCCAGGAGAAGCTGAGCACCGCGTCCCAGACTGATCTGTCCGGCGAGCTGGTGCCGATCGGCACCCGCCTGGCCGAGATGGCGCGTATGAGGCTGCAGTACGACGAGGCGAGAAAAAGGATACAGCATATACAGCAACAATTGGCGGATCTCGAGGAGAAAGTGACGCCTGGCCAGACCGAGAGCGACAAGGACAAATTGTTGTTGTTCCAGGAGAAAGAACAGTTACTCCGTGAACTGAGAAGCATAACGCCCCGTACACGGACCCAACAGGACATGAAGAAGATCCAGAGCGAGATCCGCCGGCTGGAGCAGGATCTGAACAACGCGCTGGAACTGTCAAACAAAACGATCACCGATCGCGTACGGTTGCACGAAGAGAAGCAGCTGTTGCTGCAACAGCTCAGGGACGCTCTCCGCTCGATGGCGATGCTCGAGGGTCAGTTGAAGACGCTCAGCGCGAGCACGCTCTCGGTGAGCAGTAGTTCCAGCCTGGGAAGCTTGAGCACGACCAGCAGCAAGGGCTCGCTGAGTTCCGGGCTGAGTTTCACGGATATTTATGGCGGACCACAGTGCTTGGGCCCTGTCAATTTGCAGCAAGAACGGCCGGTCGATATGGTCGATCTGCACAGACGGGTCGAGAGACTGTTGAGAGGCTCGGAACAGAACAATCTGGTCAGCACCCCGTCACCTGGAAGGTCCCAGCCTAGCCTGTCGCCTAGATCCAGCCTTTCCAGCGTCAGCCCACCGGTCTCGCCGCTCTACGAGAACGCCCCGATGGGGCCGCCGCCTGCGTACGAGCACGTGGAGATGCAAAGGCGACAACATCAAAGGATCACCGTTTCCTCTGGCGTGAATCTCGACGGTACCCAGCTGGAAGATCGACTGGCGGAGCTCAGGCTCAGTCAGCAGCAACCGCCGACCCAGGAACTGTCGTGCAGTGGTGGTGGTGGTTCCCAGGATCGTCTGAAGTTAGTCGGCGGACCACATCCGCCTGTCGAGCTCCAGTCAGGAAACATGTCCCAAGGCAGCGGCCTCGGTAGGCCTGTGCCCGCTGTACAGCATCAGATGTCCATGCAGGAACCACCGCCTCTGTCGCCTATCAGCGAGACCTCACCGCCCACCGGAATACGCTCGAGAGCAAGCAGTTCCGGGACGAACACCAGGTCCGTTTCTGCTGCTGTTTCCGACGAAAGCGTCGCCGGTGACTCGGGTGTCTTCGAGGCCTCTAACAGAAGAAGACTCTCCGGGGTGATCGGAGACGTCGACTCGTTGGCGCTGGGGGAAATGAGCCTGGAGACGGCGCAGGTGCAAATCAAGCTCAGGTGTGTGTACGTGTGTGTGTGCTGTTTCACAGTTCATGGATTTTTTTCAGGCTCTAAAGACAGAAACGTGTACAGTCCCAGGCATAAGTGTTGGGACCTCTGTTGCGTCTGAATACAAAGTAGTGATGTTTCAGAAAAATGATATATTTTGGAATACATTCATTAACCTCTGGTATTGATACGTATACGTAATCTAATGAGTTTTAGTAGTCCTTGATAATCCTTTTTTTTTATACACTTAATATTTATAAATGCAAGTGTAATCACTAGAATACAGATGATTGTGCAAATTCGTGTTTTTGTGGACCAGTTCTACGAAAAGCAGAATTAGAGAGCAATTTCTCTTTTCCATTGAATGTTGAACAAAGATATATTAAACATTGCGGACGTTTTTAACTTAGTGTATTTTGTATATGAACATTCACTATAGTTGCATAGAGTCCATGGTTTAATAATTATCAAATTGTGTTACATGTCTCCCCCCTACCTTTATCTCTTTACAAATAAATATTTTATACTAGAATAATTCATTTGTTTAGGTATTCTGTAAGCGATGGCCTACTTCATGTGGGTATCGAGCGTGCGAGGAACCTAGCTGCCCTCTTTATTCCTAACAACGCGCAAGTGTGAGTATTCATTTGAGTTGTAATTTATTAATACTATTCAAGGCCTCACTGGTGTATAATAAAAGACACTTATGCTCATTTTAACACGTTAGAAGGTCTTTTTTTTGTGTTATGTCGTGAAGGCCTCTACTTTTTATTTAATTACCATTGATCCGAGATTCGAAATAGAAGATTCGACATGAATATTTGTTTTGTACTTTCAAAATTTCGCATGTTTCAAACTTACTCATTTAAAATTGCTTTGGTAATTTAACAAATTTTTTTATTCAAAGTCCAACGTATATCCTGATAAAAAAAGAATTTTTATATTGGAAGTAGTTTTGAAAAGAACATTTAGAAAATATTAAGTCTCCTGTCTATTTGTGTTTAGGTACATAAAGGCTGCTTTACTTCCGATGCAACCACCAGTTAACCATATATGCTGTACGAAACCTGTAGTGGATTTACACAAGCCAACCTTCGGTGAAACGTTCCCGATTGCTGTACCACTTAACAAATTGTACACAAAGACACTACAAGTTAACGTTTGGTGTACAGGCAATGAGTCTGAGGAGTGCTTGGTATGTACCTTTTCTTTCCTGCATTCCGTTTTCTTATGTATGTGATTGTGAATTACTGGTTTCATTATAGTAGATTGAGTCATAAATAATTTCTACCAGCTAATAGCGGCAATTAATTGTACAATAATTAAAGAATGGTAATAAAAAAAAACGATGGTAAGAACTGTTATAAATTATTGGAATCAACCACAAAAATGCAAGTACTTATCATTCATTTATGAATGTGCAGTTATTCAGTTTATAGTCTATGATTCGTTACTGTCACTTCTTGTATCGATGTTTGCCATTTATTTCTATCGTAGTTATCTGCCTAGGTTTGCGCATGTAATGATATTTCTTATGGCAACATTCTTTTATTCCAGGGATCTGCCCAAGTATCCCTTGCAGACTTTAGTCCAGAATCGCCAAGCGTGAAATGGTACAACATACTGTCCTTCCGCTTCATGCAGCCACCAGACAGTCCTAGTACGAGCACCAGCAACAGCAACAGCATCTCTACTAGCGTAGGCAGACAAGCTAAACACGATAAACAAGAATCAGATTTATCCGTCTACCGTGGGGGACAGAACACTAAAGAGGAAAGCAGTGACGAGAGTACGATAATCAGCTCTCAAACGTCCACCTTGACGAGAAATCAAGGATGTGACGAACTGCAGACAGCTATTTCCTTGAAACTAGAAGAACTGGCCAACTGCTTGGGAAGTCCTGAAGAAGAGGATGAAAACGCTGGCAGCGAAAGCGGCAGTGAGGACAGTGACGAGGACGGGATCATTGTGGAATTTATGATGGAGGACAATGTTTTGGAAGACGTCTTGGAGCACGAGGTGACTATTAATTCTATTTAAAATAATTTTTAACATCAAAGGTATCCCACATTTCATTTAAATTGATTCGGTAATTGTAATTATTATGTTATAATGCACGTTACTCGATTATGTTAGTTGTTAATTGTTATTTGATTTATCGCACGATTGAAATAACATATTGTAAATACAATTAACAGGAGGATGAAGAATTGAACGAGGAGGCAAAGCAAACACAGGACAAGGAGACCAATACTGAGTGTATTTTTATACCGGAGCAGGGAAAACAGAGGAAACTTTCGGCAGCCGGCGTTACTCCCAACACTATGTACGACGATAAAAATTCCATCGTGATTAAAAGAAGTCAAACCTTTTCTCCGAGTGCCGCAGTCAGCAAGAATCATTACATCTGTCGGGTAAGAACCATTTCCGACCACGATATACTACTGGAAGTGTTCATTACGACATGCAATATTTTGTAATTCAATCATCTAACTCCAAGGAACTTGAGTAATTTAATTCGGTTAAGTGTGTTGAATTAACGTCCAATAAGAATAGGTTTCTATCATGTTTTATGAAATAATAAAAAAAAAACTAGAACAATGTGGATAAGATCAAGGAAACTATCTAAACTAATTAACTATAGAAAAACAATCAATAAAAGAAACCACTTGCAATGAAACTGTACAGCCTTGTATCTAAACAAAAAATTGGCTACAAGTCCCTTTATCAATCAAGTAATTAAGAAAATTGTATTGACTACCCAATAAGCGTAATAATAGTCTACGTGTATTACCTATGTATTCTACAATTAATAAATATTTTTTTCCCACAGCTCAATAGAAGCGACAGCGACAGTAGCATGCCGCTCTACCGTAGGGGTGGACCATTCCAACGAAATTCGGTTGAAAGACGGTCCCTACGATGGCGACGTCCTTCGTCCGCGCTCAGCTGCAAAACTGTCTCAAAGAAGTGCACCAATTTGCCGCCCACCGCCAGAACATCGCTGGATCTCGAATTGGATCTTCAAGCACAGCATGCTAGACTGAGCAACCTTCAAGATGAGATCACCAGATTGCGAGAACTGAAGCAGAGGCTGGAACAGGCACGAGAGAAGGGAGACACCGACTTTGCAACCTGGTTGCTGGAGGATCATAAGTTCCAGAGCCTCATGGCGCAAGCCGAAAGCGGGAAAAACGGAAAAAGCGCCGAAGATAAAAGGGTGGAGAAAATGTTAAAAAGAACCTCGAAAGAGATCTACAAATTAAGAAAAACGAAGGCTGGCAAGGGAAAACCCGACATTATTTCCTTCAAGTACGTATAATTAGAACATAAAAATCATAATTCATACTCCGATTAAGTTGAAGACAAGAAATTAGAGGAAATTCAGCTTTAATTATTATTTCCGTTAGTTTTGATATTAGAGATGAAAACTCAACCGGAATAGTTTCATTTATACAAGGACAGATGTGTCGCGACATTTACAAATATATATTAGAACATGATGAAGTCATTTTAACAGCAAGACCGTTTAACATTCTTTCAATATCATAGCTTCAAGTATTACATAAACACGTAAATAATGTGTACAATGCATGTATGAAGTATCCGGTAGATTATATCACGTTTCTTAGTAGAATACACTTACGACTCGGGGTAATATTTCATTCAACCTCATTCTGTATACATATGACCATATCTTTATCTCTTTGTAATTGGTATTTATTCGTGCAATTAATTAGAAGCTTGAGTAATAGTACAAAAATGTAGTTCTTTTACTATGCTGTGCATTTTGAAGCAAATAATAGAAAATTTACAAGATCTATTCCGAATAAAGTGAAATAACCATTCAGAGCTAACTACAAGACCAGCATCTACTTCTATAATTATTGTTTGAAGTCGCGAAACTGGCTTATACGTTACAATTTTCGCTGGTAATCGGGAATATTTAAAAAAATAGTCTGACATGTGACATGTTAAAGAACAGATGTAATATATTTGACGTGTACATATTTGTAAATAGTTAATGTTGCACAGGTGTACAATTATAAATAAATACTGTTTTGTATTACGTTTAATAAAATAATAACTATGTCGTGCAGAATCAGATACTTTCGTACATGTTTTTTGGGCACATTTTATACAAGCGATATATAAGGAAGTTAGCAGTATAGTATGTATACATATATATAGAAGTTTGTGAACAATCGTTAAATATTGATATCAATTATTTGTTTCAGGGAGAAAATGGCTTTCTTCACGCGCGTTAGTCTAAATGTTCCTGTGCTTCCACCCGAAGATTCATCCTGCGAGAACGCATTGTTACCGTCTCTGTCGGCCGGCCAGCACAAGAGATACGCCTCGGAACCAGTTACCAGTGAATCTGTGGTCGCTAAAGTTAATGCTCAATGTTTTACGAATATGGCCGCACGGTCGAACAGTGTTCCTAGCGGGAACGCGTCGTCGTCTGCTACGAGAGGCGACAGCGCCGCGGCGGCGAATAACGCGGCGGCGGGGATCGTTCCGAGCACGGTCGAGGAGAGTTCGGCGAACAGTACAAATAAATCCGTGAACGCGAAGGGTCGACCGGTCGCGGGGAAGCTGCAGTGCGCGGAGAACGGTCAGGTCGAGAGCCTGAAGTCGTCCGAGGAGACGGACAGCGAAGAGCCGAGAAGGTACGAGTACGTAGTCGACAGAGTTCTCGGAGTGGAAGTGTAACGTGTTCGCGCGTCTTAGGCCATCTTTCTTATTTGAATTATCGTGAATGGACAAACAAACAAACAAAGAAAAACGAATTGATTTAAATTATTCAAACGATTAAACGTGTGTACCGGCTTACTCGCTGATCGCGACTAGTACGATGAACTATATATATATATATATTTTATTAGAAACCGCTGCCGATGTTGTTATTGTTATTGGTTATCGAGGCGATAACACCGATACCCGTAAAAGGAAGTCTAGGCATATTTCAGACAATAGCGAAAATGCGTGAATCAAGCGCGCTGTACATACGAAAACGTAAATTATTTAAATGAGATCTATGCGAAAATTATTTAATTAATCGATTCCGTCGGGTTCCTCTCCGCGTCCGAGATTAATCTTTGGTGTGTCGCTTTGCTCGTTTCCTTATGGCGTCATAGAACACACTACCCTACCGAGCAGCTGGACTGCGACTTAAAAAGTATAACAGGAGAGAAAAAGAAGAGAGAAAGAGTAAAGGAACCAGAGAAAGGCCTGTGTGTAGCCCTGGTAGGCTGAATCGTGTGCCTTGATTCCATTACTGCCATTTCACGAAGCGTGTATGCATTCAATTTCGAGAATGCCTATGTACGTTTCTTTTTTCCAGATACTGACAAGTATGACCAGTAAACTGCGGATTTCCTCGCGCTTGTGGCAAACATGAATCGTGTACTACAAAATATTTTGAGACGAAAAAATTTAGCAAGAATTGATACCGTTCTTGCTTTACTTTTTATTTTAAATAAATCCCTTTGGTGGGTAAAATAAACTTTTTCTGATTCTCGTATTCGTAAAGTGAACAATGAAAATGGGACTTAGCATAAACATTCACTGTCAAATGCTTGGTTAATAATAGACTGCGTGAACGGATACCGGAATTGGAAAGGAATTTATAGATTTTAATACGAATTTTGTTGGATCTCAAACAAAAGGAAGACCTCGTTAAATTTTATAAACCATTTTACTGCACTGAGTTTTAGACCATCGTGTGTGATATAAACGCATAAAATCCGCAGTTTAGTAAAGTAATTTTATTGCGCAGTACCGTGATGAGTTCAACTGTTCTGCCTTCATTAGTAAAAGCGTGCGACTGCGTGTTTTAACATCCCTGTACCGTACGTAATGCGACACTAACACACATCTACACAAACACATGTGTTTGCACTAGAGAGCTATCGCTAGCCGGATAATTCGAGATTATTTTCTTCAGAGCTGAGCGACATTCAGGTATCTGTGAAAGGAAACCAAGAATATCGTGTGTCGAATACGCTACCATATATATTTTGTAATATCAATCATTCCATATGTTTATTATTCGTTTTGATAAACATATGGCTTTATCTATTAGAACAAAAATTAATCAAACAAAAGGTACGAACATACAGCGAAGAATAAAAGTATTTGCACATTCGGGTTTTTTATATTTAATATATTAACAATACATGATAAAAACATATTGTTTAAAAACTTCCTACAATGGCAGATAAAGTAATATAGAGACTCTTATGAAATATCCAAGATTTTGTAAAATTATTTCAGAAAATTAAGAGTGTGTTGATACTTTTCTTTCACCCACTGTAGATATAATGAAACGTAAAAAATGTCAAGTAGTCTCGTATTGAATATTACTCCATATAAAACGTTGGCTTTCGATACTATGAATGTTCTTTAGCTTTTTAGATGATACTTTTCAGTATCCTATCTCGAATTATGTTGAGTATCAACAGTCCCGGTTCGCATTATTTCCCTTTTTTAAATTTAAAACACATTGGAATTACTTATTGAACGAAGAATTAGTGTACTTATTGGAAATAGCGATTAAAGCGACAATCTTAAACGTGCGTGTTTGTTGGAACTGCAAATATATATATTTTTATATATATTGAAAACACTGTTAATAGTGCTGATAACTACCGTTTGTCGCAAGTTGGACAAAGAAACTCGAGATGAAATTTATATTGTGGAAGAATGTTCGTACACGAAAGACACCTGTGCTTTGTTCTGAAATGATAATCTGATAGTAATGAATAAGTCAAAGTTGTTAGGTTTTTCCGCAGTGTGAAAGAAATTTTAAACGAACGTTACATTGTTAATGCCATATGATGCAGAATTTAACTTTTAAATGTTCTGAATGTAATTTGGGTGCGCAACGTCGAGGAACCTGGTAGGGATTGGGTTTTTGGGGGAGTAGTAAGATCTTTGAGACAGTGAAAATGTAAATAATTTTGTATATATATACATATATATATATATGCGTCGACAATCATGTTCACGCGTTTACGTAGTATAAATATAGACATAAATACATAAATATATAGATATATTTATATATTTATAGATATATTTATATATTTATATATAGATACCAATTATATAATTATTATCTAAATAGGTGTGCGTGTACGTACGTCCGTCCGTTCGCGCGCGCGCGCTCGCGTTCCGCGTCTGTGTGTGTGTGTAGGCAAAGGAATTACGCGGACGAATTCGCATGGTCCCTGGAAATAACAATACCTTTACGATAAAACAAAAAAGAAAAGAAAAGCGGGGGTACAGCTCGTGCAACGTTTTTATACTTCTGAATAAATAGGGGGTGTCACACCGTCAACGTGCAGTACCTATTATGCGCATCTATTTAATTAACGCGTTACGTTAATGAATTATTGTTAGTACCAGTGTAGCTTGGTCTTACTGTGTTGAATCAAATGTAAACGACGACGATGTGTTAAACGGCGGACAATGATAAATATTGACAATAAAACGATAATAGCACTGCTAATAAATGGCATACGGTTGATGTCGAACTATGAACGACGATAGTGGCGATCAATGAACGCGATAAAAGATTGAAATATGAACCATGGTACTGATATCACTAAGAATAATAATAACGGTAATAATAAGCTCGCAACGACATATACACATTACATGAACACGTACATCCTCCGAGAAACAGCCGCAGTATGACTTGCAAGTTAATGATAATGATTAAATGGTAATGATTCGTATGATAATGATTAAAAGAAAAAAATACAGTATATTCTTGCCATATTATTTTGTATCGTGAGTTTGTTTATCCAATTATTATTATTATTCATATGTCCTTCGGATTCCTCAACCTTTAATACTTACTTAGTCAAATACTATTTGGTATATACAGAGTACAGTATGGATTAGTCAGTAAAGAACTATATTACGTAAATTCCGCACGGGCGAGACACCGCAGGCTATAATGTAAATCCTCATAACGAGTAATTTCGTAGGCACAAAAAATTAAATTTCAAGCGTTTCTCATCATATAAACGTTTTTCTGATGGAAATGAAACCAACACGATATATAAATCGAATAATAAAAAAATCCATCTCGCACTTTTGTAGCAATTACAGGTCTTGGCCACTTAGTGTTATTTCCGCAACCAGCGGTAGAGGGGAAATCGACTTCTGCTTCATCCATCCCACGCGTTCATCAGCAGTTGTATCCATTTGCCTGCCTGGCATCCGAAGAATAACTTACCATGAGGTAAGGGCGATTGGTTACCGGGTGTATCTTCAAAATAACCGATTAGCTACTGCTTGCACTTGCAGAGAACCAAACGTAAAGATGTGCCACTTGTTTCTAATAGAGGTAAGTCAATATCTTACACAGACTTTCTGGGAGGTCAAAAAATCGATTTTTTTTTTTAATTTGATAATAAGCAGTATTCGGAGTCAGAGTCTATAATTAAACGAATTCTTCGAGTGCTGTAAGTGGGCAAAAAAATGTTGACAAAATTGGGTTCGAAGACGGATCGCGACGCTAAAACACTCCTAAGGAAGACGGTTATGACGCAAAAGTTATGGTTACAAATGATAAGAAATATATTTTCAATAATCATGCAGGGGGAATATTTATCCGAGCGGTTTGAGGCATAATAAGAAACAAGCCGTGACGTTTGAACTAATAAAAGATTTTAGAAAATTTTGTATACTTTTATTACTAAGGATAACACGTACTTTAGCCAAAGTCTTTTTTGAAATTTGTCCTACAGCCGGATTGGCTGCATCATCTAGGTTAAAGATAAAAGTGCGAAAAAGTGCACAACATTGATAGGGTTGTATAACTTTTTCTATTCGGTATTTTAAAATTCTCTTTGGCTCAAATGCACATCTAGTTTCGTACTAAATGCTCTAAAAGTTTGAAGTTAATAGCTACTGTAGATTTTCAGAAAAAGTAACATAAAGTAGGCATATTTTCCAAAAAATGCTCAATCCCCTTAAAATCTTTAAAGTTACATTTTCTAACAGTTAGTAAAGCATTAACAACTGAAATTCGGCGTTTTGTTGAAACACATTATGCCGTACATTTTGCGTTAAATTTCATTGATTGGTAATGGTCTACTTTACGATTTGTAAATATGCGTGTTTCGTGCACGTCCAACAGGCGTTAAGATGATTGAGCTGTGAGGTAAACATATGGTATGGTAGGGGTTACTTCGCAATTTCCTGAACCGGTCAGAACACGTGAACTCGAGTGTATAACTTTGCTGGTCATCTTTGCAAAAACGTTAGAGATACGATTTTTTTCCAGTATTTCCTCTATGAGTATAGGGCTTCACCTACTGACACTTGACGAGTTTATGAGCAGAAAAGAGTAGATTTCCAGATAGCACACTATGACGCCTTGAAGACGGCTTAAAGGCGCCTTAGACCTAAAATAGCTATAAAATGGGCATCTTTATGGTGTCATGTGCTATCTGGGTTGTGATGAACTACCTATAGTTAAAACCATCTTATGGTTCCGATTGTGAATAGAGAAAAAGCTTCAAAAAATCTTTAAACATTGTGAAGCTAAACCATTAGTAGTTTCGTAGGATCTAAATATAAAGGTTAATCGTGATTAGTACGTGATCGAAGACGATCGTGCTTATGACCGATCGGTACCCCTCCCCCACTCGCGCCGATGAGTCTACTGCGCAACCGGCACGGCTAGATTTGTCGGGTTGTAGACTTGTAGTAGGATCGTTGACAGCCGTTACCCTCTCCTTAGTCGAGAGCGGAGCGCGGCGGGCGCAATGCTGCTTTGCGGTGTTTTATGTTCTGTGTTGTCGGTTCCGTTCGGTGCAATCGTGCAAATAGTGATTTTTCTTCTACAGAATTCGAACGTCTCGAGAGTACACGCCTTCCTGCCACCGGGAGCTGGTCAGTTTTACTTTTCATTACTTTCATAACAATAATAACATTCAAAGTTGAACGTTATGTTCTTTTGGGCTGGAAAGATAAATAATGGGAACTCAGTTGCTAGATACAAGTATAAAGTTATACAATTTAATTTACTGAATAGGTGTCATTCAATTGTGATCGTAGATATTATATTTCTTTCGTGTTATTTAACTGAAATGTGAAATAATTCACCAACTCCAATTGGCGGCATTCGCACAATGGTGTGTCACGTGTTAGACATCCAGGTATAGGTTGTTTTGTATTATACTCGGATCACGTTGCGAAATTATAAATTTATTTGAACGCAACAAGTTTCAATCACTGCTGTGAGTCTTTTGTCATCATTTTGAACGATCGATAAGCTTTCAACGTTCGAATGTGTAGTTTAGTTTGCGTAATATCTGTCAAGCATCATAAAGCACAGAGTTGCGTTTGAAAAATATGAAAACTGATTTCCAAATATTTCAATGTAATTGAATTTTCAAATCAAATTATGCGATCGAATTACGGGATAATCGGTCTTTATCCCTACGTTCAACTTCATAACCTGTCATCGTAGTGTGCAACCGTTGCGAGTGCATGTATGTGTGCATCGATTCTTGTTCGTATACATGTACATACATATACTTTTACGAGGGGAACTATTTTCTTTTAATGTGTCTCTCGATCCAAACACTACTCTTTTCACGGGTTAGAATTTTTGGTGGCTGTGGCGTTAGAGATTAGTAAAATTCTACTCGAATCTCTGTCGCTCAGAAAGCTTGGGAATACAGGCACGTCTACAAGAAAGCTTAAATAATTCAACGATAGCTGCAGGTGTGCGTCGACGAATCGATATTATTATCGGCGGCACGCTTCTGACGTGCACCTACGCCTACACACCTATCACGTTGTACGTAAGCACAATACTATTCTCTAATTTTCGAGCAATATTATACCGGCTCAAGTCACGCTATCTTCAGAAAACTTTCAAGATTTCGGAAACAGTTTTCGACGTTGGGTTAGAGATCCTGGTTATCGACGAAATCCTGAAAAGCAAACTGTTAGGAACGGAATGGTAAACATGAGGAAAATTGGTATAACCTATATGAATGTACATAAAATGTGATTTTATTAATAACAATAGTGTCTATATTATAGTGTGATTCACGTATGGTGAAGACATAATCACGAGGACATCTCGATTTTTTTTTAAATGTTACCTAAAGAATGTATAAGAAAGGAAGAACATACATCTCTTATTTTACGTAAATGATACGTTCTATAGATGTTTTACGCATCAGAGAACTGTGTAAATCGGAACTTCAGTGCAGCATATTTTGCGTAACGGTTTTTACAGCTGATTCTACATTTCGAAATCAATAGAGATTTGAAGTAAAGAACGTATTGTGATATTGATTGTTATATCACGAGTTCGGTTATTTTACGGCTTATTAATGTGTGTTGGTCACGTGTTTAATACACACATACGGACAACAATTTTTCATAAGCTTCAAAATTGGTAACATACTAGTTTAACTGATGTATTAACACCAGAACTCGAACTCGATGGTGTAAGACCCACCCGTCTCAGATATTAACCAAACATAGAGCATCACTTCTTCGACTAGAGATATAAGCGAGTACATGTCTAAAAATGTTTAATCTTTCTTTTTTTTTTAACTTTTAGCGGATACTAGGGCTTTTTTTTATGTACGTCATGTTGCATTGTGTTTCCCTCCCTAAAAAAGCGCTCGTCCCAGTCGTACAGACTTCCTATGTATGTAAATGTAAACAATACCTAATTGGTTATTTAAAGACTGAGTTTAGTAACGTCCCTCCGTGTTCTATGGTAACCTTCGCATCCTCCGAAAATTCGATATGCAAATACCGACACACACAAACGAGTGAGACAGATGAAAACAAAGGTCGGCTTCCCCTCGACCGATGGTTGCAGAAATGACCCTGACTGGCCAAAACTCGTAAATTCCCGGATTGTACGTACAGTCAACACGAAACAAGTAAATTGTAGTTTTTTTTTTCACTCGCGATAATAAAATAATAACGTTGTCTACGTAGAATTTTCTGTAAGAAACATATACCGTATTGATATAATCGAAATTCAATAACAGAGGCAAATTTACTTACGGTATTTAGGAAGTTTTGCAGCTGCGTGTATGTATTTGAAGAAATTATAGGGAAGCCATGTAACGGAATGGAGGATCAATCACTACTAATTTACCTTATTTTCTCCATAGGAACTCAGTTTCCTATCGATTTAACACTGCCATCACGAGCGAACACTAACCAAGATGCATATCGGAAGTTTTACGTTTACTTAAGTTCACGAAATGTTTGTATAGTATCAATTCACCGTTTACCCACTCTGAGAACAAAGAATACGTAAGATTAAATAAACGCCAGTTAATCTTTTATCGTTTTATACCAATCGATCGATGTCCTTATTGGGTATTTTACTAAAAAAAAAACTTGTTCGAAACTTTGCATTCGAGTCTGTCAGCGATGCGCACGCAGCATTTTTACACGAAACGAAATTACAACCAGCAGGTATTAACCCCTTGCAATATTGACGTTTCTGATAATTGCAAAGAGAACCGATGACTGGGTACACTTGGATCCGTAGTATTTTCACTACTTTCAACCTCTTGAGGGCTACTGGCACGTATGTGTACGTTTAGTTTTTCTTACATTCAAGCATCATTCCAAAATTGTGATTAAATACTCACTAGGAAATTCCCCAACAAAACAGGGTACTCTACTAATTGATTGCTGTTAATATTTATGCATATATTTTAATTAAATACAGTTGAAAAATAAAAAAATATTTCTTTTGGTTTTAAGAAATTCGTCCCTAGAGAGGTTAAAAACTGAATTTTTATTATTGGGACAACTGTTAGGGAGGATAATTCTGTCAATAGAATAATTCTACTCTAGCTGTCTCTAATTGGGTCTGAACAGACTCACTTACTGTTTGGTGAAGATTGACAGCCGATTCCGATAATAAATAATTACTCGTTCGAAATCGACGCGGTGGAATACACAAATTCAATTCTGAATTGTCAGATGCGTCAGAGACGTGATTAACATTAGAAAGACTAATTATAAAATTGCAGACGACAGAGTGTACGAAACCTGTGCAATACATCCGGACCGGAACTGTAAACCGACCGTGAAATCAGGTCGACCTAACGAAACAAAGCGTCAGAAGTGTCGAGCATACACACGGGATAAAATGGATCGATGTTCGAAAAGTGAAATTCATAATAAACTAAGAATTTCGTCCAAGATTTTGTTCTTCTGGATTTGCGATTTCTGTGATATAACGCTGTTACGCATTGTTTATGCTTAATGTGTTAAGAGCGTTTTGCAGAAAGCTGCACAGAAGTACAAACCATCGAGTTCAATGACTTCAGCGTATACATAGTCGATACTGATCGAAGTTTCGTAGGTAGGCGTAATTGACAGATGCTTAAATTGCACATCGTCTATCGCTCTTAATTTATTAGCAATTTATTGCATACACACTTTATTGATACAGAAAGTATGATGTAGCAAAATGATAATAGTTGAAGCGATTTTCTAAGAATTACTGTTAAATTCAAAACGTGTTGCTTTAAACAATTCAAATTTTTTGTTTTATTTCGGTGAAAAACGGATAGAATTTTCGTTTATATAAAATCTATGATTTTCCTCGTTTTAACTGCGAACGATGCTAGACGGAAGAGCCTAAATATTGTGCAGTTGTGCAACGCGGTTCTAAGTCAGATGTTCTTTCTTATTGGAGAAATTCTCCAGAATAGAGACTTAAAGTATACTTGCCATAAATTCTATCGAGTTAGTATTGTTTATGGTTGCATTTTTAAGTGTCTCTTATTGCTAATTGAAACCTTTAGTTATAAATAAATTGTTTTTAAATTTAGTACACGACAATAGCTGCTGTTGTTGTTATTTGAATTAATCGGATTTTATCGTGCTACAAGTTTAACGATTAATATAATATTTACATGTTGTTTATTTTGTACAGCCCTTGGCCATTGAATTAGGACCACTCACAATTTTCCGCATTTTACATTATTGTAATAAAATTGAAGGGTCTAGACATAATTTAATAACAAACTTTACTAACTACTAAAGTACACACATACTTTTAAAATTTTTCATTTCTTTTACGCTCACCTACAGGAAAAGAAAGTTTTCTCAGCGAGCGTTTGGAAACAGTTTCCGGTTACAATTCTAAGAACTGGATATTTGGAATGCAACAGACGACAAACGTTAAATACAGAAAATGTAATAATACGAAGTAGAAAATAAACATGGTTGCATTATACTTGATATTGATACTATAGCATAAACATCCACTCGGTTCGCAACCGCTCGTCACCCACTGTATGGCTCTCACAATAAATACTCAATAGTAATAAATAATAAGATGTCAAAAGAAAATATAAATTATTAATATGTATATGTGTCATATTTTAACAGTTAATACAATTTGTAATTAAACATCGTCCAGGTCTTTCGATTTTATTGAAAACACGAAAGATGTTGAAAATTGTATCATAAGTGATCCTAATTCAATGGCCAGGGGCTGTAATATCCAATGCACTTTTCTATCAAATTTTACAGTTTTACTTCGACCGGTTTATTAATATAAATAGTTGGTTACTTATCGGTAGACATAATGAATATCTTGGACTTTAGAGGACGAAATCATTGTGATCGAGCATCTGCCAGGACGTCGAGTTCATCTGCAGGACTTCTTCTGGACCGACGCGGAGGACGCACCGCCATGGGTGGATTCGAATCAGCCCTTTCACGAAACCAAAACGGTTCATCATACGGTGACAGTTTACTTGCCCGCCGACGAAAAGGACGACGATGACTCAAAGTCACCCAATCGGCCTGATTCTTACGATCCAAAATGCACCACCTGCATCGAACCCACACCGAGATTGAACGACGACGAGGATCAAAATATCGGTGTTTTGATAGGAGAAGATCCTGGACCAAGGTTTCTATCTTTCAATTCGCGTCAATAATCGGTGACAGTTGAATTTCATAATCCTCGAACATGCGTGAGTAACACAGTGACGTGGTAGGTTGACGCTGGGTCACTTTTGACCCGTGGCAGAATTTTTGTAATACGTACTTTAGGAACTACTTTTTATACCACTAATAAGGGGGATTAGGTTGGTTGTCAGAATCCGATATTTTTTGTAACTTTACAGATGAGTAAGGGGCACTGAGTAATTGTAAGTGTGTTGCTCTGAGTTTCAGTAAACAGAATTTCGGGACGTCAGAGCCAGAGTGTATTAAGTCACACTTTTCAAACTTTAGAGGAGAGCAAATGAAAAAAATCAGGTTCTGACGCCAACCTAACACCCCTTTGTAAATACGATCCAATAATCCTTACGATATCTCTACATTCTTTACATTCAAAAGTGTATTTTTATTTTCTCTTTTTAATATCGATATTTCCCATTGATTACTTTGGTATCGAATTGTTCGAATATCATCAATATATATCGGTTCGATCACTATGGGTCGTCGAAGGGTCGTCGTAAGGTCGTCGACGAAATTATGATTCGTTCTAGTAAAAAATATTACATTCTAATAAGAAACGATAACATCTATATTCTCGAAGAAAATGCAGATAAAGATATTCTGAGTTACGAATTTTTGACAAGATTTTTTTTAGATAGTAAAATTCAAGAAAAGTACTGAAATTTCGTGGCGAAAGTTATGTGGTACACCCTGTGTGTTGCACTTAGGTTTCTAGTAGAATCATAATCTTGCCGGTTGCATTAAGAATTATGACACGCCCTACATACATTGCTATGTACATTGTGTTTCTAGGTACTGGCTATTAACAGTTCTTCGTGCCGGTGAAGCTATACCGCCCAAGATCGAGTTAAAACTGGCACGTTTGTATCGAACTGCCTTCACGAGGCAACAGCAACGTCATCTCGGACTTTTACAGTCGAATCGACGATTTCAGAGAGCCGCGGATGAGCAAACACTCGTTTCTAACAAGGTAAATTTATTAAAAATAATCCAAATCAGAGCAAAGAGAACAAATGATATCAGTTCTATCTTTTCTTTTTATTTATTGTTAGTTCACTGAAAGGAACTGTCATAATACGCCAATGACGCACTTTACTACTGAAACCTAAAATTCTTTTTATTATTCATAATTTTGTTCTACAAAAATGCTCAATAACTAACAAAATTAAGCCCTACTTACAACGTAATTAAGAACATTTTCAACCCCTCGAAGCGGGATACCGAGATCTCGCTCCATTATTCATAGTATCTAAAATATATTTTAGTTCATTACTAAATTAACTTTTTGATCAAATTTCTTTAATGCATAGGGTATATTAATTGCGTGTATTACATGCATTTCTCAACACTAGAAGTACCGACGATAAACGCATATTTGCTTCGAGCGGAGGATAAACGTGAAAAACTTTTGAAAATTTAGAAATTGACTAATTTCTTCACATTCGTATCGTAATAAAAGGTGCAAAAGTAATTTTGACTTGCTTGGTAGTTCTAGTGTTAAACATACAATTTCATGTATTTCACATATGTCTTCCAGCGTATTTACCATAGCTACGCATGAAGTATAAAGACGGGTCAGAAGTGACCCAGCATCGATTGTGTTAAAATAATGAACAATTTATGTTTATCTTGTACGGCATGTTATTTACTATCGCTACGCTTGAAGTACAAAGACGGGTCAAAAGTGACCCAGCATCGATTGTGTTAAAATAGTGAATAATTTATGTTTATCTTGTACGGCACGTGACTTACAGATTTCCGCAAGAAGTCGTCCACTAGCGAGAAAACAGATATCGAATGACATTGATGGGGAGAGTGCGGACAGGCGTTCAGAATTGCGCTTATTCAATAATACGGCCGAGGGGACTGTTCAAGTTAGAATGCAAAATACAAGCGTAACCGAAAACGGTGCTACGAGGTTGATTTATTCTGTTCACCTAGGTGGAAAACCTGTGCCGGCTGAAACAGCTGCCAGAGACATGGCTCTCTTGTCGTCGCAAGAAGTTGCATTAGAACTTGGCGCTCCAGTCCTTATTCAAAGCGAGCGTGAGTTTTCATAAATTATTACACGCAGGGAACACCATCGCGTACACTACCACTCGAAAGGTTAAAATCATGTTCGTTACTTTTAAAAGAGCGTAAAATAATATACAGGATGTCTTCACTATTCATGCAGTTAAGTAATCTCAAAACTTTGAGCAGTAAGGTACAGCGAAGAGTGTTGCAAAATTATGCGTTGAGGAAATCTATAAAGGAGTCTATAGCTGTGATTTAATTTCTTAAAATCATTTTCAAACATTATTTCGACAATTTACAGAAAAATTATTCTATACATTTGTTTGCATATAGCCTATTTGAAGGAGTCTCGACCGTTGGCGCTTTCAAGAAAGAGAGATGCATGGCTTCTGATCGGTGCAGCAAGCGCCGGTTTCATTCTTTTAGCTTTTATGATCGCTGGATTAGTCTTCACAGCGAAAAGAAAAAGGTCACAAAGCTCGGTAGCCGCGCCACCGAATCGGAGCATTCTTAAGAAAAAACAGGATCACGTGACAACGCCTGGTGGTCGCGATAATGCTGCTTTTTCAGAAATGGAAATTAAGGTAACATTTACGCAAGCAATGTAAAGTTCGTGTCGCCAAGGCATTTTTAATAACGCGATGTTATTTTATTTCATATGTAATAAAAATAGTGTATAACATTTTCAAATTCAATCATTTAATTGATACTAATTAGTCATAATACATTTCCAATTTGGACTTCTTATGTGAAGTGATTGTAAAAAGTTTACGAGAAAAAGATTTAGATAATCTGTAATAGCTCTTTTCGTGTTCCATAATTCTTATTGTTCGTTATAGACTGAAGGTAGTAGCCAAAGTCCGATTCCTGGGAGTCTGCCAAGGACTCCGGTTACTCCCGAATCTACGGATAGTTTCGATTTAGGAATGCAGAAAGTTTCTAGCGATAACGAAGAGGAGCTGAAAAGAAAGGCACGAGAGCCAAGTCTTTTAGAACATCCTTCAAAAAAGACAAGGTACAAAAGTTCATTTGAATCGTTTGTTGATACATCTTAACATGTATTATGTACTCAGCGTCGACTTCAAAATGATTAGTGATTTAACAGTATTCCCTCAAAAATCGCCAAAAACTCAATAAGAGGTTTATCTAGAATTTGAAAGATTAAAATTATTTCTGATTAAGTAAGGAATCTTTTTTATTATAGAGAATTTCTCGTACATCTACAGAAATAGATTCGAGAAATTATCGAAGTTCAACTCTTTTATGTGAATAAATGTAATTATTTATTTATAGACTGACACACGGAAGAATATCGCGAACAAATGCGGTTGATGTGCCCAGAACGTCGGATTCAATGGACGTGGTAGTTGACCACTTAGAAGCACTAGAATCTCTGGAAACCAGTTACACGAAGCAAGGGGAAGAAGATGAAGAAGAAGAAGAAGAACAAGAAGAAGCTGCTACTTCACCTCATTCTTATCTGTCTATGCCAACCTGTAAACAGTTTCCCAATATGAAAAGTGTTGAACCTCTTTCAAGGGTTTTGGAACCAGTTATGGTGTGTAGCAGTCTGTTTGTTTTTACCAAATACAATTTTTATGTCTATTATTATTTGTAACAGACTATACTACATTTGTAAATAAATATCTCTTCTACAGATCAGACATTTGGATATAGATTCTCCTGAACTGGAGAGACGAGACAGTAATGACATTGATCCCTACAGAGGTAGCAAAGTCAATGATAAATTTTTTGCACGAACTTCAAGCGCTATGAAAGATCCTGGAGTGGTTGGCCCTATAGTTTGGAATCTTCGCAGACACACACTGTGTACAGAGGGTATAATATTTTTTATTGCTTTTGTATACATATGGCGAGGGCAAAGATTGATTAGGGATTAAAAAGATGATGTTATTTAATCAAAAACGCTTTGCTGCTTCGACGTTTACCAAAGACTTCGAAATTTTTTACGCAATATATCAATGGATGCATTGATTACTCGAATGAAAAAACTGTATTACATTGTCTTCAGGTAATGGGACATCGGGATCCGATGAAATAACATCAGCTGGCCCTGTTGGGCGAGCCAAAAGGAGGTTGCATGAACTGCTGGAGGATTCTTTCAGTCTTTTCGGGAGTAGAGAACAGAATTCGGAAATGCAAGTCTGTGCGACACGTCCAAATTCTGCAGTATTCACACCGGATGTACTACCAGGTTTTTCGAAAGCTAGAGGAAAATCTGCCTACATTAGGTATGTACAGTTTTGTGTAATTCTTAAATTATTATTAGACTACTGCTGTTTACATAAATTTACATTTTTACTTATTTTAAATAGAAATTAATTTATAATGTCATAACTCAATAGACGTTAATTTCCTCCAATTTCGGTTTGATTAGGTCTACACGAACTGAATGCTTTACTAAACCTCATTAATGTTATCCTTGTATTTTGATTTGCACATCCAGAATAGTAATATATGCAAAAAATTGTTGTTCTTATTACATTCACAATTTTACCCTTAACTGTGTTAGTCCTGTGTCTTCGCCAACAATGGAAATGAAGATGCAACGTCCGATACCATTACCTCGAAAAGATATCGAAGAAAATTTTACAGAAAATGGACAAACAGAATCAGTTCGATCTCATAGTGGTTGGAGTTCTAGACCATTGAGTGCTGGTCCATTTCACAGACCAAATGTACCAGATATAGATACAAGGCGTATACTTTCACACTGTCAGCTTCCACCAGAAGATCCTGCAGTTCCATTAATTGCATCAATTAAAAAGGAACTCGAAAAGTTTTCTTCGTAATAAGTATTATGGAAGAATGCAATGAAAAAGAGACTAAAACTATTGACATTACTAAATAGTACATATCAACAGAATGAATCAAAGATGTATTTTGAAACAGCATTTATAACCGTATTTATAATAACGTGTAAATAATCTAAGAAAAAACTTTTATATGGACAGTATCATACTTGATGCAATACATTTTTACTGAACTCATTCTCTGCAAATATCCACTCATAGTTGAAAAATACAACTTCCTATGTATTTGTGACATTATAACTATGACATTTAAACAATTTATAATGGAATATACATAGGGAATTATAAATATTAAATAGCAAATCTTAACGCGTTATTGATAAAACACAATTTTGTTTGTGTACTATATCAACATTTCTAACAGAATTACAGATCCTCTTATGTTTTCTGTACATTATTTAGAAATTTCTAAAAAAGCTGAAACTTGCTTTTCCATAATGACACATACTACTTTATATAGATATAGTGGATATGAAACTGTCAGGCAGCAATGTGTTAATGATACTTTAAAAATTCTGTTTGTTTTACAATGGCAATGATAAATTATAATGATTTAAACAGTAAGATTAATCAAACAGATGCAATCAACAATCATATTACATTTATGATATTTTATGTATTTATTCAACACATATATTGAATACCTCACTCTCATTGTACATATCATAATTCAATATGACTGAATAATTTATAGGAATGCATTAGGTTTATCTTTTTTTCACAAGTTATTTTATGAACTAATAGAATATAATAGTAAATAATAAAAACAATAAAATATTTGTAAAAATAGTTTTACTATAGCGCATACCATTTGTTTTACTAATTTTGCTGAAATAGATACATGTTAGAAATAATTTGGTAAAAACTGGAAGAATTATATTAAATATATATTTTTTTTAAGTATAAGTATTTTGTTTTAAAAATTTTAGTTTACAGTTAGTATATTAAGCTGTTGTATTTTTACCATGTTGTGTTTGACTGAATGTCAATAAAAATTGTATTATAAGTTTATCTATGGATTTATTGTTGTAAAGGATTCGGCAACTATTTTTCTTTATCGTAATAATATTGAACATTCATTAGACAAAATATAAAGACATAAAAGAATTATATTATATGTAATTTATAAAGTGAATTCATACAAAGTAATTGTATTCATTCACTAATTATATTACATACATGTATTAACATAAATTTAGAAGTAATCAAACTAAATTATGGACTTTGGGTTTACTAATTTTATACTTGTATGAGTCACTTTTATTAATAGACAGAAAATATACAGAAATTTTCAGGCACTAACATATTTTATGATAGTGCACCCACCTAATAGTTTATTGCACAACAATTTTAAGCTATTTTTAATACTTCAACAAATCGATGAAAATTACAAAAATCTTTGTACGTGTGTTCGTACTGCAACTTGAAATTAGGGTACTTTTCAGTAAAAAATTTTATGTACTCTGGATGACTTGCATCAACTTCTAAGAATAAACGTCCTCCAGGCTTTAAAGCTGCAGCAGCATATTTTAATAAAGGCTTAATAACTTTTAAACCATCATCTCCTCCATTAATTGCTCTTAAATCTTCATAACTAGAAGATAAAACAAAATATTTTGTAATATTTAAGTAAATATACAATAAATATTTAGGTACTTAAAAATCATCTGCATGCATCTTCTGATGCAAATTTATAAATACAGAATAATTGCATTACATTTTAATTTCAGGTTCTAATGCAGGTATCTGATGAGTACATATATATGGAGGATTGCTAACTATAAAATCAAAAGTCTTTGAATTTAAATCAAGGTTCTCAGATCCACTTAATATGTCTGAAAGTTGAACTGTTCCATTGTCTGTAACAGTTGCATGTACAATATGAACCTGGTTTTTTAAGTCTAGTGCATCTCGATTTTCCATACATAATTCACAAGCTTGTCGGTTTGTGTCTATTGCTACACAATTTACCTAATAAGGAATACCATTACAATCTACTTTCATGAAGAAATATATGTATACACACACACAGTCTACAAATAATCAGGTTCATAGATATTTACAGTTTTATTAGCATGTGCTATTGCAAGAGATATTGCTCCAGAACCACATCCAACTTCTAGAACCTCCTGTCTACTGTTTTGTGAAGCACCTATCCTCTTTAATACAAAATCGACTAGTATCTCAGTTTCTGGTCGAGGGATAAAAATTGGTGGGACTAATTTTAATGTAATATCTCGAAAGTCCCATTCCCCAATTATGTACTGAACTGGCATTCTGTAAAAATCTGACCTTTTTAAACACCCATAAAGTACAGGTGAAATGTAATAATTCTATGTTAGCCATTTTTACCTAGACAACCTGCATTCGCACAATGTCTCCAATTTATTACATTGATCTAAGGTAAGTTCCTCATGTTTTGCAAATGTAAGATTTACAGGCTGAAAACAAATATTTCTGAAATTTTTAATTCAACTATAATATCTTCCTTGAAAATAAATTGCAGAAGCATCCTTTAATGCAAAAAGATAAAGAATGGTGTTATTATAAAATAGTTTAACACACTTTTTCACATAAAATAGTTTAATTTGATATTTTTATTTATACTATTCAAGTCTACATTCCAGTTCCAATATAAATGTGCCAATAATTCTCAAAATGGTGTTTTTATTTTCGGTAAAATAATGAAAGATTGTAAAGAATGAAGAATATAATTTAATTATATGGATAATTGCCAATTAATATTTACCAGCTACCGCCACACTTTCATTTAGCAATTGAGTACCTTTTTAATACCTAAAACATGTGCGACGATGTATTCGATCGATTCGACGGGTTCTGGAACACCTTCGTTTTCAAACCGCTGGCTCCATTGTTTGATAATTTCACCAACATTGGAGCATTGTGCATTTACTGTATACAGACGTCGCGTCGGTCGGCAAAACGTGATACTTTTAGTACGATATAAACGTGCTTCAATATTCACTATGCCGGCGAAAGTACGTGCACTCAAGATACTTCGAGTTAACATTGTGGTAACATTCATAAAAAGTAATTCGTTGTCAATGTTGAAATGAATTTGTAATCAAAGTTCATCGTACGAGACGGCACGATGTGTTATCAAAGCATTTCTCCGTTAGAGTCCATTGCCATTACTTCCTTACTCTGAAAATTCTATTACGTGCTGCCAACTGTGAGAAGGTACGTTTGATTAGATTCATTCGCAGTAAGATGTCGACCAAGGAGGGAAAAATGAAGTTGCAAAAATAATTAGATATTTCGTAAGACCCATAAACAACTAAATAAATATTTTATCTGAATTTATATATACTTTATTTCATACAATTATATCTATTTAGAATATTTCAGTGCAATACCACATAAACGTATTCAGACATTATTAACGAATAACTGAATTTTCCAGCACGACAATGACCTTTAAATACACTTCTAGCATTGCGAAAAGTTGTAAAAGGAATTTCTATACTGAAATGGCCGTTTTAAAATGTGCAGCTTTATATAACCATTAATTCTATCAATCAAACGACATTTCAATGACTTCAGAATTATGTTATCATATGTTTTTTTATAATTTGTCAAAGTGTAAAAATTTAGAACTTTTGTCACATACATACAATCGCGTATTAAGTATGAGAACTTATAGTATGAGAGATAATATTTATCAGACCGATAATTAATGTTAAATATTTTTTTACTTGAAATCAAAAAGATTTGAATCGAAAACGTGTTGTATGTTCAGTTTGATAACATATGATCGATTGGAGGCGCATGCGCGGTAACGCGTAGCGGAAAGAAGGGTGCGGGCCTACCAGGCCAGATTCAGTTTAGGACGCCAGCAGCCGCCACCGGTTCTACTTGTAAGTTGCGACGAGTCGTCTGCCATGACAGTTATCGGTGTCACGCGAGTGCGACGTTGAATTTTTATCTATTATTGACTGTATTTTTCCGATAAGAGAAACGACTCGATGGGCTAGGCTGCAGTACGGCATCGAAGACTCGTCCATGATCGCTTCACGAATAAACGATGGCATTACCGTTCTGTTTAACACAGTGTGCTGCGATACACAAATCGCACGCGTTCTAAACACGCGTTTTCATTCTGGTGAATGGCGGGTGGCGGTTGTGGTGACGGTTCTGTGACGTGTGTCTCGTGTTGTGTTGCCTGTCAGTTTTCTCGTGTATTGGAAATAGCACCACTCGTCTGTCGTACGCATCATCGGCGGTGACGTCCACTCAGGGTTTATTCGAACGTGATGTAAGGAATCAACTTTCCGCACTGTTACGACGTGCAAGACCTTTTCTGACAAGGAAAGGTTCCAAGGTGTTATTCTGCTAGTTTGGTGACCTTTTTCGCAGGAATAGAATTTCGAATACTTAAAATAACGATACTAGTTTCAGAGACAGATAGTAAACGGTTTAAAAGGTGTTCAACATTTCAGTGTGCAATTTCCTTATCTTCCGTAGTATAAGTATGTATTTGTGACAGATGAGCGGGTGGTGAAGGTAATAAGATGTCTGCCTACCATTAAGGTGATTGTTTTGCGTCCGTGTTCAAATCCCGTTAAGGTTATTTTACACCATACTTAATTTTTTTCGATGTTACATTATTTTTTCACTACTTGTGTATGGTACGTAATTTATGTGTATACGGAGATATTAAATGTGAAATTTTTGTAGAATACTAATTGCATTTAATTTAACAATATTAATGTAGACCGTAATACAGGCTTGAGTATTTGTCGTAATCGATATTTACCTGTGACAAAGGCTACGTACTGCTTTCCACGGTATAGAAATGGAGAGTATTCAAACAAATCGTCAATAAGTGCCATGCGTGAATCAAACTGTATTCCCGAAACATTTAACGTAAATACAATTTATCCGTATACGGTAATAAAAGAAAAAATCGAATACCGAACAAATTTAATCTCTACACTACTCGCTCATTTGTTATTTGCATTACACTACGGACGATAAAGGTCATTTAAAATCTGAACCCTGACATATCTATTAAACTATTGACCATCTGCCCCTGAAATTGATGTCATTGGCTTAAGTATTCGAGACTTTATCACCGTGCAGAAGTTCATTAAACGATCAGCTTAATAGCTCGGGGCCTCCCCTTATGGCGATTGCATGACAGTTGTTTACAAGCAGTACTTTTCAGTCGATCGAAACAGCGGGAGTGTAAGGTGTGGTGGAAAGTAACGTACAGATTCTCCGCGCTCTTTCGCTCCTGCTTTTCTTTCCCCACTCCCTGTTCCTCGCCTCTTCTTTAACGTTCTAGACACGCGGATTTCTATGTCCTTTCCGCCTTCTCCAGGCGACATACCGATCCGACGACCGACACAAAAGTTCGACAAAGATAAAATTTCGCGCAGGATAGTATCTGTCCTCTTAATTTCCTTCGGTGAAATAAAGTAAGGAAAACAACAACGAGTTAGACCTAGTCTACAGATAAATTCCGTTAAATTCGTTTACTTTTATGAGTACCTGCATCGGTTATTGTACGATACTGTGTCACATTCCCTGCTTTTAAATCTGGTGGTAACTGTTATGTCATTCTATAAGTAACATCTTTGATTTAGCATATCAAAGAGATGACACTTTATTTACAAGAGAAGTCCAAAATTGACGAAGAGGTGAAACATAACGTTAGAAAGGAATGATTGGTATATCAGTGAATGAAAGTAACGTTTAACCTCAAATTTAACCTTAACCCTGCAATGCTACCGGGGGTGAATCCGCATCCAGACCTAATATAGGTACATGTATGTATTGTCAGTATACGGAAAATATGAATAACATTCTAGGATTAATTTCGACATTATTTATGGTATGATTCGATAGTAGGATGTTACGGGGATAATTCGTGGAAAATTCCGTGTAAATAGACGTGCTGGGGTCGAATGCCGGAAACGATCGGCCATGAAAAAACATTTTTCTCGGGCCAGGTTCACGCCCCTTTACGTGTTATACAGGGTGTGTCCAAGCTAATGTAACTACCCAAAATATTTCGGTTATTTTCACTGATACATGAAAAACTTGTTAAAAGAAATAATGTAAAATTTATGTGATCGAATATTACGTTTGACACAATTAGATCACGATTATGTATTTACAATTTTAAAGTCGGTATTGTTTTTCTTTTGAATGGAACCAGAAAGTTTTTATCATGCCATGTTATAATGGACCGCGTAACGTAGTAATTCTGTAATGTGTTAACTTTTACGAAACACACATAGACATCTCTATATACGGGACGTGTAACGTGTCAATATCGACCGAAAGAGAATTACACCGACAGATACTTGTGTTTAAAGGTGGAGAAATGTCGATGGCATATTGTTTATGGAAAGGACTTTTAGTATAATTGGACAAATAATATCGGACAGAAAATCAAGAATTTGTTCTTTTAAATAAAAACCAGTCTCTTTTCTTAAATTATATACTTTAAATATTTATAATTTTACATTTCTTATCAATATAATATTAACAATTATGATTTCCCATCGTTCTTTAATATTTGCTTAAAGATACACAAAATCAATCAAAAATTTGCATTTTTAAGAGCTTCAAATATTTCTGAAACATATTTTGTAGAATTTGAATTAACGGAAATAATCGATGATTATCGATACTTGGGTATCAAACTATCGGTGACTATTGATACATAGTTACAACTCATCGATGTTTCTCCATAGACATAGAATTCTATAATTTCTATATCTATGACCGGGATTCATAGTCACTACTTATTCTTAAGCAAATACTTAAGTCCCCAGTTATGAATGTATACGTATGGACTAAACATTTATAACTGGGGACTTAACTGTTTGAGGCACACGATTTTAAAGACAATAAAAACCCTAGTTGCACAGAATTTTTTTTTAATGTAAAAAAATTATATAAAAATAAAATATTAAACTGTATGACTATGAGTAACTTCAACTTTTCGAGGTGGGTTAAAATATATCCCACCATGCATAAAAAGCTAAGCAAAAGGTGGGACAGTTTTTAACCCACCTAACCCTAAAGAGTTAAGCATTTGCTTAAGAATAAGCAGCGACTATAAATCCCGCCCTATGTGTTTCTCCAGCTCACTGGTGTTTGCTTCGTAAAATAACGGAGCATCAAAGGCGACGTATCGTTGTTTGCCCGGAATCCATTCATGACAGGGAGTTTCCTGTTACCGATCCGTGCGTTACCTCGCCGGTTCGTACGTAAGTCGCGGCGCGAAACGGTGCATGCTCGTTGCTCCCCTCCCCACCCATCTCCCCCTTCCTTCTCCCATGTTTCTGCCACCGTCAGCCCTACATAGAGATGGTTTTTGTCGGTTGTTTAGTGCGTCACGGAATGCGGTGTTATCCACACGGTCGGTTCGATGGACACTGTCACGTTATGCGCCCGGGGTCGACTGATACACGGGGCTGCGCGTAAAAGTGCGCGGTTTCCGGCGAGCAATTTACCGAGAGGAGATATCCAGCGTTATCTCTTTCTCACGCGTGGCTCGGGATCCGTATCGTTGCACGGAAGATGTTTAACTTTATGAAGAAGGCCACGGAGAAGGACGACAAGGAGAAGAGGAAGCGCGAGAAGAAAGAACGGAAAGATGTCAAGAAACGCGACCGGAGTAGTATGTCCGCGGAAGAGTTACTGCGCTTGGATGAAGTACGTACTTATTTTGATTTTTCTTAGTTTCTTTTATTTTCTTTGTACGGCGTTTAGCGGTTAGGAACACGCTTTCGGTTTTTTAGGTTCGCTCCGGTGTTGCGTGGAACAGTTGCAATGTGTTTCTGTGAGATTTACTTCTTATGCATTATGGATCACGTCTTTTTTTTTTTTGGTTATGTGTAACGATCACGAGAAAGGTGTACTAAGTGTAACGCTGAATTATTTTCTGAAACCTCTGAGGCGTTTAAGTTTGTAAGTTGCGGTGAACGACGCGTTTTAACAACGAAAGCGTGCCGCGATTGGCAACCTTTTTGCCTACCAAAACACTAGCTCTTTTACCGCTGGTTGGAGCTCTCGTGTAACAGCCTTGTTGTTTGAAGATTTATGTTTCGCTCACTATACGAATTTCCATTGTTTTCGTACGATTCCTTTAATTTGATGTTTTTGTGTAGAGTGTATTTAATTAATCGTACACTTATAATTATAGAAACAGACATAACCTTAGGGCGTACTTGTCACAGAAAGCATTGAAAACATTTCAACGTAAATGTGAATTCAGTACGGTAACACGTGCATCTATATCCATTGGTCTATCTGGTCGAATCTATTTGTCCATTAACTTTCCACAAAGTATCATTAAAATTCGGCGCGTAACACGTCGTACGGCCCCTTCGTTCGTCGTGCGTTGGCAATCGATTGAGTGGATCTCTGAGGAACAAACTGTACAACAGGCCTGTCTGTGGAAAGGGCCCATTACGTTACCGCTTGTGCATAGTGATTTAACCCTTAGAGTACGGTGACCGGGTTCATTTGGACTCGAATATTAAGAAACTGAATCTATCTTATCGATTTGTAAATATAATTTATGCTAGGAATTGTTCGTATTTAATCGTATAACAAATGCATGTGTTTTCTAATGATCGTGTTCGAAAGTATGTTTAAAAATAAGGATGCATAGGGTTTCAAACGGACCCAGACACCACCGTGTCTACGAACATTAAAAACGTCCGTACCCTGAGGGTTAAGGATCGCTCACTATCAAAGATAGTGACGGAGAACTAATGCTATGTGAGAACCAAGAAAAATCATAGAACGCAAAATTAGCTTTGTGGTCCCCATGGGAAATGGGGAAAAAAGATTTGAGGAAGCTGAGCTGTTCATTAACACTAGAACTATCAAACCCGTCAAAATGACGGATTACAGATTTATTGTTTTACCATTATTGAAATTATAGATAATGGTGCTTTTGCTAGATTGTCTTATATACTCTGTATATTATTGTATTATACAATTTAATTTAGTATACACTTAATACTGGTAGTTCTCTAGTGTTAATGCCCCTCCCCCTCTCCAGACAAGTCTGATCTACAGTACCCTAAAAAAAAATTGAATCAAGCTTTAGGAGATGTTTGGAAAAATTTATTTTTCCATAAAACTGCATTCGTTTATTATTTCTTATAAATATCAGTTTTCAATGCTTGGACTGCCGATAAGTGAAGGGGCTGAGAACGTTTACGCAATTGCAGTTTTGTACACGATAGATAGTTGAAATATTCATTCTATATATAAATGATGAGCTTCATGTAGTGATGGTAACGTGTTAGAATGAAATAGTCTTTCTTTGTGATGTGCAAATGTATTATTCTATTCTTTAATGTTTCGTATTGAAAGTGACAGAATAAGTTTTAAGAAGATAGATGTTTAATGTAAAACGAATCCAGTAGATACAGTGGACAATAGGACACTCCGTAATCAAACTCCTATTATTGGAGTAGTCTGTTATTTGAACTTCTGTCAACTGTATACATATCAGGAATCATATTTTTCCGAACTTCTTATATTTCATAAAAAGAAAAATTCACCGTTGGTATAAACTCAAGAAGTTTTCAATAGATCAATTACAACTCAGCAACAGTTGGTTATTAAAAGCAATTCTTGTAATAAGTTTTTAGAAGATACATTGTTTTTTTCTGTACTGAACTTCGTTTTTACGGGAATAATGGAATTCTCTTAATATTTTACCTATCAACCACAAGTATTGGCCATTATGGGTCGCTCAGAATCTTGGAACGTTTTTAAGGATAACACTGATGTCTGTAGTTTTCAATTAGTGTACTATTTCTATTTACGATTTTTTAAAAATAATTTCTTCCTATTTCTCTTATCTTCATTACATCACTTACATAAAATATCGGTAAAAGAACTCAGCATGATTTTAGATCATTTTTTGAATATTATTGTGTTCATTGTAATATTATCATCGGCATAAAAGTAATTAAAAATGCATTTACATTAGAAGTCAGAAAATTAAATCTGTAGATTATCGACAGAACTATGAAGCTACATTATAGATTCAGAATCGTGGTATACCTTGGCTACGAAAAGTATTCGCAGTTGTACTTACATTCACGAAATAAATAAATTCTCGCGATTCATGAATTATATGTAATGGTTGGTGTTGTTTTACTGTGAGATACGTAGAGATTCTAGTAGAATCTATAACGTTGGCCCTACTTTTGATCACTTGTCGGGCTTCGTCAGGCGACGAAAGTACAGCACATACAGGTCGATTCTTGCCACTAATTTTCTTTCCGGGTCTCTAAGTGCGGAAGTTCTCATAATTAGTTCGAGCAGTTATAGAAGTAAGTTCAGAACGGTTGAAAACTATGGTGAAAAGAGGTAGGAAAGTTTCTTTTTTCGCCGAGAGTCGCATCCATTGCTCTATGCAGGAAAGTGACTGTTTTGAAGAATACTATATTTACAAGCCTATGGAGCTCAAGAAATTTTCACAACTTTGGTATCCTGAAAATTTCGATTTTTTTTAAACTCCGTAAGTTTGTAGGGGATCTCAATAAAAGTATCGTGTAATTTTTCGTTTTTGCTGATATTCGGCTCTTCAAGTTGAACCCACCCCTCAAAGGTTAATATGTATTTTTCTATTTTCCTGTATATCTTGAAAACTATAGCAGATTTAAAAAAAACTGTTGCAATGAAAATTTAATGACTTTCTGTACTGTATAAAAGTGTGCAATAAAGTTGTTAACAATTTTTTTTCTGTAAATAAATTAATAAGGAAACAAATTTTTAACAATTCCATTACGCAATTTTACAGAGCATAAGAAGCTATTAAATTTTCACTGCAACCATTTTTTGGTATTTACAACAGCTTGGAAGATATACAGGAAAATAGGAAAACATGTTAATGTTTAAGGGGTGGTTTCACCCTGAAGAAGCGAACATCAGTAAAAACGAAAAATTGTTCGATGCTTCTATTGAGGTCTCCTACATTCCAGCAGAGTTTTAAAAAAATAGGAACTTTCGGGGTACCGAAGTTCCTTTGTTAGTTTATAAATAAACTATAAATAAATTGATTGTTTGCATTTATAGCATACTCGATTGTTAATGATTCAGTACAGTGATAAGGTTAATTAAGTTCAATTTAGAATTTCGTTTTGTCTTGAATTTGGAGCCTGATGGAACCCTTAGTGGGGCGAAGAGAATATCTATCGGATCATAGTTTTTGTAACCTGATCCATAACAGCTTAGATTTGTATAAACGTCCGCAGCCTAGTTATAATTTTTCAATAATTTATATTTAATTTCCTTTACCATGATTTTCTTTAGGATATACACAGTATGTCTGGAAAATAACGGGACTGACACCATAACACCTCATACACCGATCGTATATGTAAAAATCCTTAATTTTATTCAAAGCATGTTCCTGCGACATCGATACAGTGTTGTGCATGGTCCAACAATAGTTGGGCATACTTCTAAAGGTCTGAATTTTAGAAAAATCTTTCGAAATGTCTTTGTGAATTTTTTTATAGCCATTTGCATAGATTGAACGTAACGAGTAACTTTTGTTAGAATATTTTAATCGTTGAAAATAAAAAAATTTTTGCACGATAGTCGATCAAGCGAATGGGTCAGATGGTCGATTAGTGTCGTCTGTTTGTAAAGAAGTTACGTGCAAACGCAACACAATGAACATTGTGATTTGAAAGGAATCATTTTTCCTGTTATCAATATTCAACCACTTATTCGGACGATACTTTGGTTCTGAATATGCAAATACTAGTCACTGTTCATTATACTTACTTGTTCAGGACGAAGTTTTAAAGAAAAATGTCCGTGGAATCTTGAGAATAGATGATTGTTATCTTTTAGGTCGGTTCAAATGTTTATCATCCACAGATTTTACATCTTTCAATCTTTCAAATCCTGAAAACCTCGCACAATTTATGAACGAGATAAATAATCGTTTCTATAAACTTTTATTTCAAGATTTTATAGATTTACATTGTGGATTTACGAGTATAGCACCAGAATTAATTATGGGTTCCTTGTTCCATTGAATTTTCGTAACGAGCTAGATTAAAATTTTATTACTTCGATTATACAATTCACATTCCCCGTTCTAGAATATCCTGTTTTATTTACTTGTTTCGTGTTGTTTCTTACAGATTTATTTGCGATTAATTATACACATGTACACGTAGATCGATTAAGGATGTGTCGGAGGTACAATCTTGACAAAAAGTAAAATATAAAAAGTAAAATATATTAGAATTATTAGTTTCAGCTATTCTGTACTGAAAATCTCAGAGATTCTTTTCGATTATGTTCTGATGAAGGTTAAAGGTCAGGATGACGATCTTCAGATATTTTTTTTATTCGATCATAGCTTTTCACTATGTATTATTCGAATAAAATTGTGACCTACTCTGTTAACTAATAATTCGGCAACAACAGAGCGGATAAAGTTTTATTTCGAGTCTGTACTCTTGTCGTATGAAAACACGTTTCTCTCTATCAGCGAACAAGTTGCGTCGGATGGCCCGTGGCACACCGCGATAAAAAAAATCCAGGATCATCCGCCCTAGTATGTGATGTCTCATGCGATTATATCTACAGTCACTCACGAAAGTCTTCGTACACTCTATAAAGAAGGTCACTTTTGTGAGATGCATAATTCGTGTTTTTCTCTTATTTATTAAAATATTTCTATAGGTCAGCGGGAAGCGAAGAAAAAAATGAAATAACAGCAACTGTGTAAATTACAACCATTTTTCGAATATGAGGGGTACAATTTAGAGAAATTGGCTGCCAAGTGATACGCAAGTCAAAGAAGGTTGGAAACCGCTGTTATAGATTAATACATTTTGTCGTGAAATAGTTAAATATTACCTGGTATCTTAATAAATAAAAATGATATTACACGAAGTTGTTGTTTATAAAGTTTATATCAGAGTTGGGCACAATTTTATTCGAATAATACATAATGAAAAGCTGCAGTATCTAAGCTGCTTTTGAGCTGTAAACAATTAATGAGATTAAGTAATTGCTTGCCAAATGTCGACTCGTTCATGAATAAGTATTACTTTATTATGAAAATTGGATTTCCACGTTTAAACGATTAAAAATGACGAAGTACTTTTTTTTGATCATTTATTCGTTATTTGAAACTCTTTGCATCTAGATAATAAATTTACTCATCTCTGGTTTATATTAATAAAAATGACCACTTTGAGGTCTACGAAGTTTGCCCCGAGTGACTGTATATTACACGAGGCATGAGCACGAGCCAGTCTGAGTTTGACATATTGGCTCGAAACTTTCTGTGTACTAATCCCAGACCTTATTGTAAGAAACGGCAGGAAATAGACGATTAGAATGGGGTGTCTGCTAGCAACGGATCTTGAGATCTGGTCGAATAGAAAGCGAGGGTGGTCGAACTACGGAAGACAACAGGGGATGTGAGATTGGCCCTGGAACCGATGCAGCACATTTAGTACCACACTAAAATGTGTTGAAATTCCGAATACGTTTCACCTAAATTTTACTTTAAATAATAAATGCTATTTTGTTTGCTTAATGACGAGTATACTCAACATAAACATCAAAAGGGTTACGCGTCTCACTTTGTATATCATTTGGAACCCTGTATACTGTCATCTTACAAACCCCGTTAAAATCGGAACTGACAGTTCGGGTCCATCCCTTGTATAGGGAACACATTCGGGTCATTCCTCGTTAAATCGGACACTTTTTGGAGTAACATTTCGGATTTTACTGACACTTTGATATGTTATAGTTTTTAGTGATATATAAACGTACCTCGAAGGATTTTTGAACATTTTTTAAATTGTTTATTTTCGAGCTGTGCGAAATATATTATGTCAATGATTTTGAATAAATCATAACTGTTGAACTAAAAAACTAATCAAAATGAGCTTTAAGGGTGCTTACAGTGGAGACATAACAGTACCTAACCAAAATTATTTCAGGTAGAAGAGAATATTGTTTAACCATTTATTTTGTAATTGTTTCATAGAAATGTAATTTTACAATAGTAGGAATTAATTGAAAAAATTGAAACAAATTTAGGATATAGTCCTATGTTTTTGCCCTCTTCATTGAAAAATTTTCAAAAGTAAGGACACTCCAAAATTGGCCATATGAAAATTAATCGAAGTTTGTCCTTATTTTTGCAAATTTTTCCATAAAGAGGACATATAGGACTATATCCTCAACTTTTTTTTTCAAATTTTTCAATTGGTTCCTACTAGTGCAACATTGCATTTCTTTAAAACCATTACAAAATAAATGGTTAAACAATATTTTTTTATAACTGAAATAATTTTTAATAGATACTCTTATGTCTCCGCTGTAACCACTCACAAAGCTTATTTTGCTCGGATTGTTGGTTCGACAGTTACGATGTATTGAAAAAACGTTGACACTGTATTTCAAACATCTGTAAAATCGACTATTTTAAAAATTTTCCAAAGTCCTTCGAGATATGTTTATAATATATATCTTTATTATATTTATATTATATATCTTTATTATACTATATCTTTAGTGAAAGACTACAACATATCCAAGTGTCAACAAAATCCGAAATGTTACTCCAAAAAGTGTCTCATTTCGCGTGGAATGACCTATAAGGAACACATTCCTGTGAAACTAAATAGCTTCGAAACACACACAAAACTTCAAAACAGATCAGTCCCGGTTGTTCGCCAGGCATACTGTGTATCGTGTAATTTAGATATTATTTCTTATGGTTCCAGGTGCGTAGGTCATTGAAACTTCCCGGTCGTCGAAAGGAGAAAGAGAAGCTACCGAGTGGCATCACCGCGGACTATAGCGCGTCGTTTTTCGCGTATCTAGATCGGGACATCCTAGAAAATTCGCAGAACACGTCGAATTCAGGCCAGGGACCGCGTCCCAATAACAATTCGACGAACCGAACGCCGGACGGTTTGATACAGAGCGATTCGTCGGAGACCTCGTTGACGTCGTTGACCATCAATTCGTCGAACGTTCAACTGGGCAAGAATCTGCCCCCGTTGCCGCCGAAACCGCCGAAAAGGGGCATTCTGAAAGGACCACGTCTGGGCATCACCGGTGGCGCCACGACGCCCGTTTCGGACGAGAACGCTTTAGCAAATGGCGACGAGATTAATTACCAGGAGCCGAATAATTTATTAGCGAGGAACACGTTGCAGAACGAAGTGATCGCTTATCAGAACGTGCCCACGCATTTACCGGGATTGGGAACGGTTTTGGGCAAAGAGGAGACCTGCAGCGAGGAGGAGACGTTAATTTGTCAGAGCACCTGGCAAATTTCACCGCAACGATCCGTTCAACATAGTCAACAACAACAGCAACAGCAGTACCATCACCATTATCATCATAGTCACCATAGTCAGGGCGATACGAAACTACTGCAGGTTGGTCGATGCGCATCTTGAGGTGCGTATCCACTTGTTGCGTATCTGCGTTGTGTATCATCGTTGTGTATCAATGTGGACGGGAAGGCGTTGCATCGTTGTGTGTGAAAATGTTACCGATCGGTCATTTATCGGTTTTTTGTAGTCACATCAAAGTATGTCGCGATATAGTAGACTCGTGTTAAAGTAGCGGTGCGGGGCTCTCGAGGCGGGGTTTTCTTGAAAACGCTACTTCAACGTGAGCCAATGGGCACGTAGGATCTCGTGGCAGTTCGGTCGATCCACCAGTTGGATCAGAACTGTGGTTACTGATGGTGACTAATAGTGGGGTACGCGCACGTCTGAGCTGGGGCGTTCCTACCGCTACTTTAACGCGAGTGTACTGTATTCATTTGTACAGCTTTGGGGTGGGGAGCCTTCTACAAGCCACAGTAGCCATGTGCTGTGTGCAACTCACGCACGCACACGCGCATTCATCCTTGAATGTGAATAAAAAAAAATAAATATTTAAGTGAAACTACACTCCTTGTTATTAGTTATATTGTAACCATTGCAGTTTAGTTTTATTAGATATCATTGCAGATATATTTGTCATACTATTTTCTGGACATAGTTATCCTGCCATTCTAGTTTATTTTCCTTCGAAAAATATTCGACCAGTTCCTCTGCCTTGTATTTAGCAATCTAGATTTTATTCTGCGTGCAATTCTTCTCAAGGGAAGTAGTCACTATATATATATCTCTATTTTTATATATTTGTGACACCTACTGACTTCCTTTTTTTTGTCTTCAGCATATAATGTATAAAAATGTGAAGGCCACTGCTAACTCAAGAGGTGAACTCATTGTAGTCACAGGAGGAGCTCATACTCTATTTTTCGTGACAGGTCGTATCCTCTGTTTTTGTACGGATACGCATGCAACGATGATACGTAACGGTGATACGATACGATGGTACGCAACGGTGGTATCATACAATGATACGATATGAAGATTCGTAACAAATGGATACGCCCCTTTCGTGTTTTGCTTCAAGTTTGTAGACGAAAGTTTTACAACCTTGAATGAGTCTAGTGGCTCCTGTGTCACTTTTTGTTATTATTATTTGCTAAACAATGCTTTTTATCCGAAACACCATTCCGTAGAGTTTCAGATCGCTACCCCTCGTTTAAGGGTAATATGGGGGCAAAAGTCCTAAATTTTATCATTTTTTTCTCGGTTATTACTTAAGATATTTAAATAGAAGAGAAACGAAATAATAGCTAAATATTAGCTCTAATTAAAACTTTTTTTGAGAATTGTGCATCTAGTAGAGTAGAAAAGAAATAATTTATTTTTGGGGGTGGCTTTTGCAAACAACCCTCTTGAGTGACACTCACCAAGAAAGTCAAGAATAATACTCTATTATTTAATTATTATCTGTAGAAGCTTTACGATAGTCGGGTTGGTGGAACATAGTTAAAAATAAAATAAAACGAATGATGAAAAAAGATAGTTTCTCTTTTCGGTTAAAATTAATGCAGCTTGAGGAGACAATTTCTCAGACGAAACTCACGTCACAAGTACTCGTTGCATTTATTCTCTTTCCAAGCAGCTTTCTTTTTTGTAAAACTTATCGACATTTTGACAAAAATTATCAATACCTAAAAAATATGGCGTAGATGAAGGGGCTACTACCACTGGGTCTCGGGAATTACTGAAATATATGACAAATTAACATTAGATTTAACATTTATTTCAGTACTTGAAAGAAATTTATCCAAATGGTACGTGGCCTTTCTCATACGCCACTTCTTCCCTTAGCGGAAGCCGAGTTTGTAAGTCAAGGTACCTTCACCCTACCCAAACCTATGATCCCCTAATTGCTCTCAGCATTTTTTCCCCACAAGTCATTAAGAAATGTCCATTACGAAACTACTCCCCATTGGCTTATTCGCCTTATATTTTCTGTCCAAACTAAATTTCTTCGATCTCTCCTAGGTTGTAACCAGTGCTAGTCCTTCGGCGGATTCCTTAACGGACACAACGAATTCGAGTTTCGCGACGCCTCCGTTCAGTCTGTCGCCGGTCGGCGAATCGCAGGGTTTCTCGAGGTGGCGATCGACGGTGTCGTTCGAGGAACAGGGCGTCGAGCTGCAATTACCGGAGATCGTTCCGTTGGAGTTGCCCGAACCGAGGGAATTGACTATTCATAGGCAACCACCGCCTCGGAACGATTTTGGATTTTCGTTGCGTCGCGCGGTGATCGTCGAGCGGGCCGCGGGGGGCGGCACGCAGATGAGATCGGTGATCTTCGCCGAACCTGGCTCGCTGGTACAGCACAACAATGACACCGGCCTGTTGCCTGGCGATCGTTTGATCGAGGTCAACGGGATCAACGTGGACGATAAGTCGCGGGAGGAAATTATCGATCTCATCAAGCGTTCGGCCAACAGTGTCACCGTGAAGGTATATCTTAAAAAATATTTTTGATTATCGCGAAGGGTGCAAGTGGATACTCAGTTCGAATAGGGCAGGGGAGACCGGGGTTGAAAGTAACAATTTTTAGTTTTCCTGAAATAAGAACGTCTATATTTTAGCTAGAGATTTAATGTTAATTTATACGGATCGGTTGGAGATACAAGATTAGTTTTATCGCAATGAAATGTTTTTAAATTAATTGTTAGAAATACTGTGACTGTGAAAATCGACAGAGTCGGATAGTTACTTTTTGCGCCACCTTGGGGTTAAAAATAACAACGCTGGGGTAAAGTTGTACTGCAAATTAGATTAAGCAGAATCGTGCAGAATGAAAGACATGAAATAATTAAAACTACCTAATAATTACTACGAATCAATATAACATTACAGTTTTTTCTTTAATTGTCTCAACACAACATTATTTCTCAATCAATAGGTACTCAACATAACATAATCTTCTTACATCTTTCTGTTCTATTTGTAACAATCCTGAATGCCATACCGTCTATATAAGACTAGAAGAAACTATTGTATACTCACAGATATAACACTAAAATCGTCGTTAACACAAAAATCGTCTGAGTTAGGAACATAATATTATCAAAGAAATAGTTTTATACATTAAATATGAAGGATTAATTAATTAATAATTAAAATTTGCGAATAATCCCAGTGTCCCTATGTCACCTCGACAATTAAAATAATTTTTACATACTTTAACAATTTACTTTGTACAGTAGATATAACTCGAATATCAAACTTACGGCTCTTTCTTTAATATGATTTCGCCATTACTTCCTACTCACGTAATCACATTTTCGAAGCTGAAATTGCACTTTCATTTTTCAAAATTAATTTTTAAATACCAGGTACATCTATGTAAGTACATGTATTTCGTTGTTTTTATATACATCAGAGTTCCACCATAATAATACAATTTTTTAGTAAAAAAATTGGGACATTTACCCTATATATTAAATCAGTTTTTCTTGGATAATACCATTTATTATAAGACACCTTGTGTATCTTTGTACTACCGGGAATTATCGCAAGAGGGTTCTTGTCGCTTTTCAGTGGAAGCGGGTGAATGGTGGCGGTTGAAAGTTAGTTGCAGAACAAACGTAATTGGTGTTTCCTGAGCAAATGTCGGGTGGTTTGTTGCCACTAGTGCACCGAATATAGCGCGATCATGACTCATGATCCCTAATGAAACTGTACTCGGACCCCGAGAGACTGTCGCGTTAAAATAACTTCCTATCAAAGTGTCTAACCCGTGATCCCCTATTGCTTGTGAGAATTGATCATGATTCACGGCGACGTTACATCCCCAGGCTTAGAATCTTTTTGTTCCGTAAGAAACTGTTGATCATTGTTATTTCGACTTGTTATAAATTTGCATTTTTTTTTTCCTTTTGCTTTCCCATCGATCGTGTACCATAGCATTAGAAGATTTGAATCTTTTCGTTCTGTAAAAAATTGTTAATAACAAACTGATGATTTTAACAACTTTTTATAAATTTATATATTCTCCTTTTGCATTCTCGTCGATGGTATGTCTTAATATTAGACGAACCTTAGACCTTAACATTAAATGAACCTTAAAATCCTTTCGTTCTGTTAACAACTGTTGATAACTGTCCTTTTGACGATTTTTCATAAATTTACATTTCATTCCTTTTGCATTCCCATCGTGTATCTTAAAATTAGAATTTTTGAATCCTTTCGTTCTGTAAATAACACTTTAACAAATCGTTGATTTTTACGACTTTCTATAAATTTGCATGTTCTCCTTTTGCATTCTCGTCGATCGTATACGTTAACATTAGAATAATCGGAATCTGTGCCCACTCGATGTACCTAGAAGAACGGTTTGGGATCTTTTGACCCACATGCATCTTTTATAACCGATACACCTTCAAATAGTTTCTTTTGTCTTCGTAGACAAAATAACTGTAATAATTTAGAATCTGTCGTGATGTACGTGCATTTGAAGATTTTAGAACCTAGAAAGTAAAAGTAATAAATCAACACAGTAGAAAAGGATAGAAATGTTTAACAAATCTTAATAGGTCACTTTGCCCCGATCGGTTCCTCTAGCATCAAGGGGTTGTTCTGGTTCAGTTGGTTGAAACAAGACGATTCTTTATTATGAGCACTATATAAGAAATCTTTGTACTTCTTGATATGCTTATTTCATGCCAGTCTTTCGTCTTTTCCCGTTGTTTTACCCTCCTTCGAGGCATTGAAATATCGGCGCCCAGTGCTATTTGTACTACTTATCGCGGTTTCCTGGGATAAAAAGTATTGTATTCCATTTTTAGTCGATCTTCATACTTTGATTAATGGTTGAAATATACAATCACTTTCCTTAAAAGAATCGGATAATTTTCCAGTTTTCAGCTTCGTCATGTTTAATGTAATTGTCATGATATCACTGTGCAACATCTCCAGTCTGTTTATTAAAATAATATTGGATATTTTTTTAACAGTAATAGTCTAGTAATATCAATTTGAACCGATTTGGAAGGGTGAATATTATTTAGCTCGGTTTCCGCGTAATAAAGTATAAGTTGTATAAATAAATGTATAAGTTTTATATATCATATTTTAACTTTTTTTTTTGTAAACGATGTTTCCTTTCTTTATTCTTTCTAACAGTTGTTCGATACTTTCTTTCTCACAGGTGCAACCGGTTGCGGAATTGTCAGAGTTATCAAGACGAGGCGATAGTGACGGACAACAGGTTGAGCTTGCTGCTGCGAATATTCGTAGCGGCACGCTTCGACGATCAGGCAGCTTGCGGTTTCAGGATAGTATGGTGAGTATTATACTCGCAATTTTATTTCTAAAAAGTCATTATAAGTTTATTATTATTTCTGAAAGACCCAATCGGTATCCTCATCAGTCGAATTTTCATCACTTTCATTTAATCTTAAGGATTTCTAAAAATAACCTTGCGATTTTCAGAATTTGCACAATAATTATTACAAACAGTACTAGTAAACACTAGTGAGGCGTTTTGTCAACCAGGGCGTGTTACCTATTTAGTTTTTACCCTACTCTAACGCTCGCATGCAGGACTAATGGCGACTGTCTTACCGTTGAACACATTTCGAGATTATACAATGGAATTAAACGAACATTTACCATGGAAATAGTATTCCTTGCAATAAGAAACGGTTGATACTGTATAAAACCGCAAAATTACACGGTTACAGCCGTGAGAAACGCGAATCGGTGAATAAGAATGGTTTTAACCTATCATCTGGCCACGTGATGTTACTGATGTAAACAAGTCGACGGTCTCTATTGGTCCGTTTAGAGCTGTATCATACGTATTCTCGAACGTCGAACGTTTTTTTTTTTTTTACATTGTCATCACGAACTTCCCCGTTATATGACCTTCCGGACTCATTACGGATGCACGGTAGTGCGATACTATTATATCGGGAACGTTATGTAGTGGGATTAACCGGTAACGCCTGAACTCGATGCATTTCGTTCTGAGGTAATCGCATTCAAATGTTGGTTTAATTGTTGTCACACAACCAGGCACGGTCGGAGGAGCACTTGGCGCAAGAACAGGCATGGCTGAATTACGAGAAGGTTTGGTTGCTGCACCGTGGCGGTTTCACGCTTGGGACCAAGTACGGCTCGGCGGATCCGGACACGGGAAAGCTGAAGATTCGCCTGGCCACTTCCGGCGAGGAGCTTCTGGTCGACGAGGAGGATGTCGAAAAAGTATTAATAGACACGCTAGTAATACCTTGTTATCCCAGCGTGCGGATTTTATGCACTTGTATAATTAGAAAATATGTAAAATACGACGAACTAAAATTCACAATGAAATTTAATAACGTTTTTATGTTATTTACAATATGATTAATCTACTGATAAGGGATGTTACATTTTCGTTTAATTTCTGTTTTTCGAAGTTACTGTGTATGATAACTTGAATTTAGATCGGCGTCTGAAATTTAGTTATTGCAAAATTATTTTTAAGATTCAGATTTCTGTACTTCTACAATTAATTCTTGAACCTCGATTTGGACAGTTGGTTGCATTAAAAATGTAAATTAAAATCGCACAAATCTATGTTTTTTTAAAAAAAAGTAGGGTATACATAAATACATAATGTAAATTGAAAATTTAATTTTTTTAAGTAAACAGTCAGAGAATGTACAGATGTTTTATTCCTTTAATTTATAGGGATAAAGTATTTCTCTTTCTCGATGGCAGCAGTTTATTCGGGTATTTTTGATCGTAAACTTGGTTAAACTAAAACAGAGCAGCGCAAAATAAAATTTGTCGCATTTTTTTAATCGTATTGAACCGGAAAAAAGGTATAATTCTAATATTGTGCGAACCGAGGGTGGGATGTAATTGAAAATCCAATGAAGAAAATGATAGTGAAATTGGATTAAAATTGTATCGCGAATCTGTAACATAAGTGCGTGAATATGTAGGTTAAATCAACGTGATTATGTATTTCTTTTACAGGCCAATCCTCCACAGTTCGACAAGGCCGAAGAGCTCTCTCGTTTACGGTTTCTTAATGAGTCTTCTGTTCTTCATACATTAAGGCAACGTTATGCTAGCAACTTAATACACACTTATGCTGGCGATAGTATGATCATAATCAATCCGGTGGCCCCGTTAGCAATTTATTCAGAAAAGGTAAATTCATATTATTTTCATTCACCTGAGTGTAGAATTTATTTTTTCATTTTTCTACATTTGTGTAATATTTTACATAATATTAGAATAGATTATATTGTAGAATAGTAAAAAATATTTTACCAGCAAGTTATTACATCATTAACATTATTAATTATTAATGTTTTAAAACAAATTTCTATAACTTTCGGAATCTGCAGTATTCACTGAAAGAAATATAAAATATTTAATCGATAGGCATGATTTACCAGATACTTATGAATGTTTTGACATTATTTTGCAACTGGAATTAATGATTTTCCCCCGTTAAGGTGGCGCTTATGTTCAGAGGATGCAAGAGCGAAGATATGCCCCCGCATGTTTACGCGATGGCGCAAGCAGCCTACAGAGGAATGTTAGCAACTCGAAGAGATCATTCCTTAGTTTTTCTTGGCCGTAGCGGATCAGGCAAAACTACAAACTTTAAGCATGCTCTGCATTACCTCGTATTGGCTGCAGGCACAGTTAATAAGGTAAATCAAAGTTTTATGCGCCGAGTATACAGAGAATATAGTATATTCTTGAATTCATTTCATATGTTAATGCTGGCAATACACGCAAAATTATAACTCACCTTAATTATTGTATTTTTAAAGATCCTGACTATCGAGAAACTCAATGCCGTCTTCACTGTCCTAGAAGCATTTGGAAATAGTAGAACGTACATGAACTCAAATGCAACGCGTTTTACGCAACTGTTTAGTTTAGACTTCGACCAGTCAGGTCTAATTGCATCCGCTTCGTTGCAGGTAAAGTAACAGATTTATCTATGTTATATTTACTTATTTATGTTATATTACACTTCATATCGTCATAGGAAATCCAATATATCAAAAAATGTGAAATTATTTAGTTTTTTACGATGTGTTCTTATTTTTTACCACACTTGTGACAGAAGTACCTTCATAAATGACTCAGCATGCCGAATAATTTTTGAATAGTACTTATCGCCGTAATATTTATCCTGCTTTTTTTTCTGTTCACAAGGTGTTACTTTTGGAGAAGTCAAGGATAGGTAAAAGGGTGAACGGAGATCCAACCTTTCATGCGTTATACCGGTTGCTGGCCGGCGCAGAGGGTGCATTGAGAAAGGAATTGCATCTTACTAATTTAGTCGCGGAGAATAATCCGTTCATCACGCCCCTGCAGAAGCACGAGGACAAACAACGGGCCATGGTTGAATTCAACCGAATCGTAGCCGCGTTCCGAACGCTTGGTATCTCGGAAACCGACGAGAAAGTTATCTGGTTGGTGCTCACCGGTATATATCACCTGAGTTGCGCGGGTGCTGTCAAAGTCGGCACCAGTTCTCAAAGTCGCTGGCAGTTCGCGAGAGTAGAGTGCGCAGAGAAAGCAGCCACGTTGCTGGGCACTTCGGTCGAGGATCTGAGCAGAGTGGTGTTCTCCTGTAACGGGGGTGGTGGCACCCCGAACACACCGAGGCCTACATTACGGACACCAAGTCCTACAGAGCAGAGCAAGGACATAACTGGTCTGGACGCTCTCGAAGGACTTCTTATTGGACTTTATTCCGAGGTGTTCCATTGCGTCGCGGCTCTCATTAATAGGTGAGGTTATATTCAATGTAGTCACCGCATATAAACCGGTTCTAGTGAATTGCATAGGTGAAATTTGTTTCATCTATATTTTATTCTTCGTAATTTATTAGTGTAAGCGGTAAGAGCGCGGCAGCCATCATTGTTTGGATTATATGAATTAGGAGAAGAAGAATCGCTGACGGCCCTGGTAGCTCAGTTGGTCATAGCAGTCGCCCGGAAGCGAAAGACCTGGGTTCGACTCCCGGTCCGGTAGCTGATTGGCCGATTCCTTTCTCTCCTTCATTAGCAACATACAAAACCGGGCAAATAATAATTGTTGTTCTCTGTATATTCGCAGATCCATATCATCCTCGGTACACACGGTTGCATCTTTATTGCTGTGCGATTCGCCCGGTTTTCAGAATCCCGCTACCTGCGGACGACAAACTGGAGCATGTTTCGAAGACCTTTGCCATAATTACTTACAGGAACGCTTGCAATTGTTGTTCCATCATACAACGTTGGTGGCGCCGAGGGACAGGTGCCTAGTTTTATAAAGTAAAATTACTTAACATTTTCGCGACCAATAATTCTAAGGTACATATCAAATAATTGAAGAGAAATATTAGTTGTTTAAAAAACAACAACATTGTCACAACTATAGTCATGTAGATCGTATGTTATTGGCCGTAAAAGTGTTCAATTACAGCACAGTTACGTTGGTGAATATTCGTAATTGATGTACTTGAAATTTAGGTACATCCAAGAAGGAATTGATGTAGATTGTGAAGATGGCTGTGACGAAAGTGGTATCGGCTCGCCCCAAGCGTTGGTTTCACTGATGGATCGTGGAAATTCACAAGGTGCAACAATGCTGCGAACTAGTCAAAATGACCTTAGTGGAAGTAGACAAATGGAACGAAAGGGACTTTTGTGGCTATTAGACGAAGAGGCAGTGTGTCCAGGAGGTAGCGACGAGACATTTTTAGATCGGCTGTTTTCTCATTACGGAGATCGAGGTAACTAAGCATCTATAATGCCGCTTTTTGAATCTGAAAGACACTAAAATTACATTCATTTTTTCGATCATTTTTCTTTTATTAGATCACCAAATACTGTTAAGAAAAGCACCCGGTAACAATCAGTTCATTTTACAACACTTATTGGGTACTAATCCTGTACTATATACGGCGACTGGTTGGCTTAAAGCGACGCGAGAAAATCCGGTTACTAAAAGTGCTATTACAATTCTTCAAGAAAGTACAAGGTATCTTTGGATTTTCTATATACACTATTAGTAATTTATGTTCCACGATGTCTGTCTGTGGAAAACATCGTCGCTTCAATAGCTAATGTTGTCTTCCGTTTTAATATCAGAGAAGATGTAAACACGCTGTTTGCAAGCGCGCGGGGAGCTGGTGTCTCTGGTACTCTGTGTAGTTCGATGCCTGGATTAGAAGGTTCGCAGTCTTTAAGAAGAGCTTCGAGCATTAGACGAACATTTACTGCTGTGAAGAGAAAAAACGTTTGCTTGCAAGTGAAATTCACCGTAGTACGTATACAAATTAAAAAATACTTTAATATATAATTACAGTGTACAATTAAGCTTATACATAACTGAAACTTAATTGATCTTTACACACATAATATACAGGGTGTTGCGTAAGTCACTGCAATTAAGGAAGATTAGAATAAATTCACCTAAACAGAATTTCAGTTATATGAATTACGACATACCCTGTAACCCGAGTTAATATGTTATTGAAATATATGTTCTCATCATTTCCTGATCGTCTTATTCGTCGTATAACTAATTGTATACTTTTTCTCGTATTACATTCAATGTTTTTATGCAGAACAAAAATAAAATATACAATATAATATTTGTAGGACGGACTGGTTGAAACTCTGAGGAGAACTCGGGTTAAATTCATCCATTGCATACTACCGCAACACAATTCCGGTTGTACCGATAATAAGAGTTTACTGTCTGTAAAATCAAATCAGAATGAAGACAGCGTCATCAATGTGCCTCTTCTACGTTCACAGGTAAATATTTTGCATTTTAATTGCATGATTATTCTGTCAATTAATTAATCTGCGCCTAGGTCGTTTACAACCTATTCATTGTCACTTGTAAACTTTGAACTCTTCGTGTAATATATTAAAACTACATTTCTTTTTATACAGATGCGTGGAAGTCAAATAATCGAAGCTATTCGGCTGCATAAAGTCGGATTTCCTAAACACATGGCTTTAGGCGAATTTAGAAGACGATTCGGCTTATTGTCGACCGACTGTAACGCACGACCTGGTAGTCCCGTAGGCGATGAACGCCGTATGGTCGAAGATATGCTGTTGACTGTGGACATTGATCCAGCTTCGTATCGTGTTGGACAAAGTCAGGTAAGTCAATTTGTATAATTTCGGTTTTTCAGTAAAATTGAATTTCGTCTTAAAGAAATGGAAATTCCTACAAACTCTTGTTATACTTGAAATATAAGTTCACCTTAGTATCCCTTCTATATACTAAGGGCTGTACTACTATATACCCACTGAAACATTATACAGTTCTGCATTATAATTAACCGCGCCTTGTGCTTAATAATTATGACAAAAGTGACATAAATCGTTTCTCGATATTTAAATAGAATCTTATTGCTGTGACGTCATAGTTGGTAAGATTCCCTTAACATTTCCACAAGATGGATTATTTGGTACCCCTCACCATAGTAATGGCTAGGATCATTATTATCAATGTAACAGTTGAGGAAAGTTTTTTTTAGACCAGAAGCTTCAGACTCGACGGCGTCAATTACTGATAATACAGTACACGTGTGTATGACGCTGGTAATAAATGAGATCGTTGTTTTTCGTAGCTTCTCTCTCAGAAGGCGAGATTATATTTGCTCGGCAGTACATTTGCGTGGATAGGTCTGTTTTAAACTGTTCTCCCTATATGTGTCCACAAAACATATAATTTGGAACGTATACGCGGTGGTAGGTAAGCTGCAGAATGCTAAACGACTTTCTCTACGAAATATTTCAGTGACATCGCTTTCAGTAACAAGTGGCATCCTGTATTATACATATATATTATTTATATTTCCAAAATATAAAAAAGAACCACTCGCTTTAATTTTTTTTTTTAATGGAGTCGTAGCATTTGCTTTCTCCTGTTCTTGCAAATGTATCAAATCAAATCCAACAATATTGACAATGTAATTTTTCTCAATATAGTACGATTACAACACCGTTAGGTAGTAACATATCGCAAAAATCAGAATATGTTCTGAAGGTAATCGTAAACAGCTGACGAACAATACGTTAATGAAATGCTGACACTTAAAAAGAAAAACTGAAAGTGACTTCGTTTTTTCATACAAAGAATATTTTGAGGATTTAATCACAGTAATCTATTGGCAGCTGAAAGCTAATTAACCCTTTGCGGACGATCGACGCATATTTGCGTCCAGTGTAAACTATAAATGTATATATGTATATACTGTAACTATGTATGTATTTGTTACTCTACAGAGCGATCAACTTTGGACCGTTCCCTCCACAAAGGGTTAAACAAGTGGTTAAAAAAAAATCATGGATGTCCTTAAGGTACACATTATACAGAGTGCTTCAGAACGAGTTTTAAACACTTATTCTGAGACTAAAATCTCTCGTACAAGCATAAATATTGTGTCCACCATTTCACTTAGTTGCAATCTTTGAAAATTCTACTATGTATTGTAATGATAACATTACTTAATTCGATACAAAATGATTCGTTTGTTTATATTTTGATGTTGCATTAAATGTGGAACAGACATTAACGAAGCAACCAATCAGGCACACAATACTATATTATTATTCGTTAATATAAATGTACTATATACTAATATAACTGTCTCAGCAGAATCTATAGAATGTAACTACACTAATGCCGAGAATTTCTATTCGTGCAATCTTTTCTCCAGAATGATTTCCCAAACGACCCATCAAAGTCCGCTACACTCGGCCTGAACCCGAAGGGGAAGGGTTAATAACGCAACGTTAATCCAGAAGTGCGAGACACGTACAGCCGTTTGACCGTGAAAGTATGATACAAACTGGCGGAGTATCTCTCGCAAGAGGATCGACACAACGCGCGGGCTCGTGACTTTCTCGTGGCCTAGATAGAAATCGTTGCACTCCACGACGGAGTCTCTCCGTGTTCGCAGAATTCTCTGTACCCCCAAGGCCTTTTCGTCGTCGCGAAAGTGTTTCACCTTGCACGCGCTCCTTTCCTCTTTTTGCCAGAGATGTATCTCTCCGCGGTTCACTTCGGGGGTACCGGGGTCCAATTTGTTTGACACCGCCTTTCAAACGACAGTTTTGGGTTAATTTTTTCGGCTAGAACCGATAGTATTGATCCAGCATCATTGCTAATCATTAAATGCACAGTACATTTAAACAAAATCTCGAATGGTGAATTCTAATTGGTAGCAGAACGTTGCTTACCATTGATAGAATTGATCGACTTTCCATACATTTTCTCGTGAGCATATACAGGGTGATTTATAAATGCACATCAATAACTTCAGGGGATAAAGCTACACACTAATATAAGTAAAAAATGTCATATGAAGATATGTCCTATATAGCCCTTCGTTTTTCTGTTACGAATGATTAAAGAAAATATTCTAAGAGCACCATCTTGACTCATTAGACTTTTAATTTTGGGGCCATTTAAAAAATATTGTGTATCCAACGCTTGTGAATAATGTACAGAATTTGCAAGAAAGGATACAAAATGGATTTGGGGCTATTCGAAGAATACCTGGCATTTTCGTAACGTGTGTTAAGGCACGAAGCGGGCACGTCTCAAACATTTTCTTTAATTATCCATAAGTCGACAACTAAGGTATACAGGACGTATGTTTATATGACGTCTTTTACTTATATTAAATTGATGAATCACCCTGTATAGTGGAATTCCGTTGTATAAGTACAGTAGGAATGCGGGAAGAATAATCTACAAATGATATAACGACAACTGCTTGCGTATACAGTACGTACAATTGAACCGTATACACGTTTATTACAGTAAATCATCGATGAATGCTCGAAGGCTCCTCGGCACTGACAAGCAGAAGTCTCCAGGTGTAACGCTGACTTTTTAATGAGGTTTAGCACAGTGATAGAGCTTGGAATTCTCAAGCCAATATTTGTTCCAGTCTCATAGGACCATTAGTTTATGAAATATTTAATGTTTAGTGTCGAGGAGCCTTCGAACAGGTATCGATATTTTACTGTATTTCTCTAACTATTGAAAATGCGAACAAATGTTTCGTATAAAAGTTGTTTGATTTCATGGAGCAAACTTAATAGAATATTGGAATTTTTCGTTTTATTGATATTGATGGAGATTTTAATAACAATGTAATATTTTTAAATGAAACTATATGTTTTTATTATCGCCATGATATTAAGCGTTTCAAGACGAATTCAATCACATATGTATTTCGAAGTTCTGTTCGAACAACTTCTCGGATTATTGTATCAATATTGTTGGCAATTTCTTGTCTCGCGGATCGTACACGTTATGGGGAAAAGACGCTAACCGAATTTGACATTTAGAGAAATTATTGTTCAAACGGAACTTTCAAACATATCGTTGATGTCGTCTTGGAATGCTTAATAACATGACACCAATAATAATACATATATAGTTCTATTGAAAAACATTACATTGTTATTAAAATCTCTGTAAATAACAATTAAAAGAAAAATTTTAATATTCTATCAAGTTTGCTCCATGAAATCGAACAACTTTCATATGAAACATTTTTTTCTACATTTTCCATAATTAGAGAAATAATATCGAGTATACACTTACATACTGTATACGTATTCACAGCTAACATCAAAAATTTTTGGGTAATGTGAATACAGTTATAATATTACGCGTAGATATGTTCTGCAATTATCACACCAAAGAAACATTTTTTATGATGCTTGCCAAATTCGTTCAGTATCCGCTAAAAGTTTGATATAAAAAATTGTAGGTTTATCTATAAAAAACTGAAGGTGACCTTAAAAATTGTGGGAAAAAAGGGTAGACACCAAATTTAGTATAATTATTTTAAAAGCTCTCTTTAAATCATGTTATGTTACATAGTCAGCAAAATTTTCGATCGAACAGCTAACAGTGAAAGAATCTGATCACGTTTCGTGGTCCGCCCTGTATGCCGAAATAACGAACGAACTCCAAATTACACGATATTATTTATTAGTGTAGTGTCTTCACAGTCTTCAGATATTATTATATATCTGAGTGTAGCAATTATTTATTATGTATGTTTTATTAGTGTAGCTGGAAAATTTCAAATTTAGCAACGAAAGAGTCATTCGAATCACAAACGAATTAAATAGAAGAAACAAATTTCCGTTTTCGTTCGATGCTCTCGCGAATCTGTCTATAGAAATGTAAATTTACACAAGCATATTCGTGGTTTAATTGTAGGTAATACATGGCGAGGTGAATAAACAACAGGGATTACATACGTAAATGTGAAAAATATCCCGCGATTTCATAACGCGGTCACAGCTATTTTCTGTGATGTTATCTCCCGTCTTTCCTTCTACACCAGTTCCTTTCTCCCGTTCGTCAGTAGGCCAGCGGACATTCCCGGGGAACAGCTTTCCAATACGTTCCTCGTGTGGCTACCAATTTCTCGATTGCAGTTTTGCCATCCTTCGCGAACTTGGCCACGCGCGTTCCACAGAATTACACGACTCCTTTTGTAAAAAGGTCATCAGATCGTTACCGGCTGATCGGTCGTCACAGGAACGATGCTGTGATTTGAATGGAGTAGAACCTTTAAAGTATTCGAATAATTCTGTTATTCGAATATTTGAATTATTCGAACAATCTGGTATCTAAGCGTTGTATTATTTAAAATGTTATTTTGTCCAAATTGTGTATTATTCGGAGGTTCTCTAATCCAATTGTGTTATTATCCAATAACTCTAGTATCCGAACGTTTTATTATTTGATTATTATAGAATAATTCGAATATTCTACTATTCGAACATTTCCTTGTCCGAAAGTTCGATTATTCGAATGTTATCCTGATATCCGAATAGGTATTCGAATTGTCTAATATTTGAACATTTTGTTATCCGAATATTTTACCATCCAAACACTCTAGTATCTGAACGTTTTATTATCCGAATATTTTACCATCCAAACACTCTAGTATCTGAACGTTTTATTATTTGAATATTCTACTATTTACACACTCTAGTATCTTAAAGTTCTATTATTCGAATATTAAATTACCCAGATACCTGAATATCTAAATTCTGAATTATCTAGGATGTTCTATCGTTCATATGTTTTACTATCCAAGCACTCTGATATCCGCTGG